TTGGTATTCTTTAAATGTTTGGTAGAATTCAACAGTGAAGCCATTGGGTCCCAGGCTTTTCTTTGCTGGGAGACTTTTTTTTTTTTTTTTAAATCATGGCTTTGATCTCATTACTCATAATTGGTCTGTTCAGGTTTTGAATTTTTTTATGGTTCAGTCTTGGTAGGTTGTATGTGTAGGAATTTCACCATTTCTTCAAGGTTTTAAAATTTATTGGCATACCATTGTTCATAGTAGCCTCTAATGATCTTTTGAATTTCTGTGGTATCAGTCGTAATGTCTCCTTTTTCATGTTTGATTTCATGTATTTTAGTATTCTCTTTTTTTTTCTTAGTCTGGTTAAAGGTTTGTTAATTTATCTTTTGAAAAAACCAACTTTTAAATTTGATCTTTTGTATTGCCTTCTCTCAGTTTCATTTAATTTTGTTCTGATCTTTTTAATTTATTTTTTTCTATTAATTTTGGGTTTGATTTGCTCTTTTTTAGCTCTTTAAGATGCATCATTAGTTAATCGAAGTTTTTCTATCTTTTTGATGTAGTTGCTTATAGCCGTAAACTTTTCTCTTAGTACTGCTTTCACTGTATCCTAGAGATTTTGATATGTTGTATTTGCACTGTCCATTTGTTTCAAGAAATTTTTAAATTTTCTTCTTAATTTCTTTTTGACCCACTGGTCATTCAGGAACTTATTGTTTAATTCCTGTGAGTTCATGTAGCTTCCAAAATTCCTTTTTATTAATTTCTAGTTTTATTCCATTGTGGTCAGAGAAGATACTTGATATAATTTCATTTTATTGTAATGTTTAAGACTTGTTTTGTAGACTAACATATAGTCTGTTCTTGAGAATTATCCACATGCTGAGGAGAATAGTGTGTATTTTGCAGCCATTGGATAAAAAGTTCTGTAAATATCTGTTAGGTGCATTTAGTCTATAGTGCAGATTAAGTCCAGTGTTTCTTTGTTCATTTTCTGCCTGGATGATCTGTTCAAAGCTGACAGTGGGGTCTTGTAGTGTCCAGCTATTATTGTATTGGGGTTGATCTCTTTCTTTAGCTCTAATAATATTTGGTTTATATACCTGGGTTTTCCAGCATTGGTATATATATATTTACAACTGTTATATCCTTTTACTGAATTGACCCCTTTATCATTATATAATGACCTTCTTTGTTTTAAAATCTATTTTTGTCTGATGTAAGTTAGCTATTTCTACTCCATTTTGATTTCCATTTGCATGGAATATCTTTTTGTTCCTTTACTTTCAGTCTATATATGTCTTCATAGATGAGATGTGTTTCTTGCAGGCAATAAGTCACTGAGTCTTGTTTTCTAAATCCATTCAGCCACCTCATTTCTTTTGTTGGGAGAGTTTAGTCCATTGACGTTGGATGTTATTGTTGATAAGTAAGGACTTACTCTAGCCATTTTGTTACTTGTTTTCTGGTTGACTTGTGGTCTTCTCTTTGTTCTTTCCTTTCTTCTTATCTACGTCTTAGGTGAGGGTGATTTTCTCTGGTGGTATGATTTAAATTTCTTGTGTATCCATCGTATGTTTTTTTCATTGAGGTTGCCATCAGGATTGCAAATAGTATCTTATAACCTGTTATTTTAAACTGATGACAACACTGATTTTACAAACTAACAAGCAAAAAGAAAACTAATAAAAACTCTACACTTCAATTTCATAACTTTTTTAACTTCCTGTTGTTTCTGTTTATATATTATTGTACTGTCTCTGTCTTGAAAAATTGAAGTTATTAATTTTGGTTGGTTTATCTTTTACTCTTTCTACTTAAGATATGAATAGTTTACATACTGCAATCACAGTGTTATAAAATTCTGTGTATTTATTACTACAGAGTTTTTCATCTTCAGATGATTTCTTATTGCTCATTCACATCCTTTCCTTTCAGGTTGAAGAGCTCCCTTTAACATTTCTTGTCGGACAGGTCTGGCATTGAATGAAATCCCTTAGCTTTTGTTTTTCTGGGAAAATTTTATTCCTCTTTCATGTTTGAAGAATATTTTCACTGGATATGCTATTCTAGGATAAAGCATTTTTTTTTTTCCTTCAGCACTTTAAATATGTCGTACCACCCTCTCTTGGCCTGTAAGGTTTCCACTGAGCAGTCTGCTGTCAGAAGTATTGGAACTGCATTGTGTGGTGTTTATTTTCTCCTGCTACTTTTAGGGTCCTTTCTTTATCCTTGACCTTTCAGATTTTGATTTTTAAATGGCTCGAAATAGCTTTCTTTGGGTTAAATCTGTTTGTTGTTCTACAACCTTCTTGTAGTTGAATATTGATAACTTTCTCTAGGTTTGGGAAACTTTCTGTTATCCCTTTGAATAAACTTTCTACTCCAATCAATATCCCTCTACCTCCTCTTTAAGGCCAGTAATTTAGATTTGCCCTTTAGAGGCACTTTTCTAGATCTCATAGGTATGCTTCAATCTTTTTTATTCTTTTTTATTTTTTCTCCTCTGTGTATTTTCTTTTTTTTTTTTTTTAGACGGAGTTTCGCTCTTGTTACCCAGCTGGAGTCCAATGGCGCAATCTCAGCTCACCGCAACCTCCGCCTCCTGGGTTCAGGCAATTCTCCTTCCTCAGCCTCCTAAGTAGCTGGGATTACAGGCACACGCCACCATGCCCAGCTAATTTTTTGTGTTTTTAGTAGAGACGGGGTTTCACCATGTTGACCAGGATGGTCTCGATCTCTCGACCTCGTGATCCACCCGCCTCGGCCTCCCAAAGTGCTGGGATTACAGGTTTGAGCCACTGTGCCTGGCCACCTCTGTGTATTTTCAAATAGCCTGTCTTCAAGCTCACTAATTCTTTCTTCTGTTTGATCAAGTCTGCTCTTAAAGATGCTGATGCATTCTTCAATATATCAGTAGAAGTTTCTGCTTGATTTTGAAAATTATTTTAATCTTTCATTAAATTTATCTAATATGATTCTGAATTCCTTCTCTGTGTTATATTAAATTTCTCTGAGTTTCCTCAGAACAGCTGTTTTGAATTCTCCGAGATGAAGTCTTCCTCTGTCATCAGGCTGGAGTGCGGTGGTGTGATCTTGGTTCACTACAACCTCTGTCTCCTAGATTTAAGTGATTCCCCTGCCTCAGCCTCCCAAGTAGCTGGGACTCCAGGTGAGCGCCACCATGGGATTTCACCATGTTGGCCAGGATGGTCTTGATCTCCTGACCTCATGATTAACCTGCCTCAGCCTCCCAGAGTGCTGGGATTACAGGCGTGAGCCACTGCACCTGGCCAGATCTTATTTTTTTTTTATTCACTCAGCTTCTGTATGGCTTTACATTGTGGAGTTTAATCCATATACATTTAAAATAATTATTATGGGGAAGAATTTACTATTGTTGTCTTGTCCAAGAGCAAAGGCCTGAAATTGGGAACTCCAGATGCCCTCTTAGTGCTCAATTCCACTGTACCCAAGCTGGTACCTAAATTGCAAGATAAAATCCCCTTGACTCTTCCCTTTCCACTTTTCTCAAGCAGAAGAAGTCCCATCTCGTAGCCACCACAGTTGGGAATGTGCTGTCTGATACCTAAAACCAGCTTAACTCAGAGTATCATCTAAGGCCCACAGTGTGTGTTACCAGGCCACCACTATTAATTATTCAGGGCCCACATGCTCTTTAGTCAGCAGGTGGTGAATCCTGCCAGGATTGTGTCCGTCTCTTTAAGGGAGTGGGTTCCCTTCTGTCCCAAGGTGTGTCTGGAGATACCATCTGGGAACTGGATGGCCTTGATGCTTATGAATGTTTGTTTGTGTCTGAACGTTGAAGAGTTAGGTATTTATTATAGTCTTCACAGTCTAGACTTGTTTGTATCTGTACATCTTGTGAAGGCTTTCTCTCGCTCAGGCTGGAGGGCAGTGGAGTGACCTCAGCTCACTGCAACCTCTGCCTCCTGGGTTCAAGTGATTTTCCCACCTCAGCTACCCCAGTAACTGGAACTACAGGCACACCACCACACCCAGGTAATATTTGTATTTGTTTGGGTAGAGACATGACCATGTTGGCCAGGCTTGTCTCGAACTCCTGACCTCTGATGATCCACCTGCCTCGGCTTCCCAAAGTGCTGGGATTACAGATGTGAGGCACTGCGACCTTGCTCTTTTCTTTATTGACCTTCTATCTATATGTTTATCCATTATTAGAAGTGGGCATTGAAGTCTTACTATTACTGTATTACTTTCTCCCTTCATCTCTCTCAATGTTTATTTTATATATTTAGGTGCTCTGAGATGGAATTTATATATGTTTATAGCTGTTTTGACTTTCTGGTAGATTGATCTTTTATTAGTATGTACACAACAAAAAATTGTAGAATGAAATAACCAAATGAATAAACATTTCAAAAGGTGTATCTGTAAATATAAAGATGGGGATTTCCCATTCATGATTAAATACATGGTTTTGGAGCCAAGAGAGAGAGGTCTGGGGTGTAGAGATTAATTTAAGATTTAATTGCATGTAAGTGGTAATAAAGGCTATAAGATTTCCCAGAAAATGCTTATGGAGAGAGAGAAAAGGGAAGAGGACAAAAGCCTTGGGAACATCCACATTTGTTGAACTGAAGCAGATAGAGGATGAGCCATCAAAGTAAACTGAGACTGACTACACCATCCACACACGCAGACTTTCCTTGGCAGTCCTAATTTTAATATTTGGTCCCTTATGCTAACAGATTTCCCAACCTCATATATTGATCAGAAAATCAAAAAACATATATGAATCACATATGTTATGGCATCTATGAAGGAACTGAATGTAAATGCAATAATTACATCATTAATTAATAATGATACAATAATTGGTACTTATGACTATATAATAATTATTAAACTTGACTTTTTACCAATAACTGAATTAAGTGTGTTTTAAATATGGCTAATATAATTATAATTTTTAATTTATAATCTTTTTAAACTATGCTTTTAAAAATTTGCTTAAATGTAAATATGTTTTTCTTTTTTAGCCTGAAAGTACTTTACTAATTTTCTGTGAAAATGGCTATATTCTTGAAGCTCCATTTCCAACCATACAGCAAGAAGTAGATGATCGTGATGTAATTTCCTATGAAATCAAAGACATGTGCATAAAATGTTTTCATTTCTCAAGTGTCAAATCTAAGATTCTGGTATGAACTATTCTTGAAGAATTATCTTCTAATAATTTCCTTTCCTTAGAATATAAAATATCCTGTGTTAAGTGCTAAGGGAATACAAAAAAGAATAAAACATAGGCCCTGAAATTAAGGAGTTTATAATCTGGCAGGAAAACAGTTATTAGAAGGCAATAGTGAATAGATACTGAAATCTAAATGTGCAGAAGGAAATTTTAGAGGTGTGCAGAGGAAAAGAGAGAGGATTCTGATAGAGGGATAGGAAGAAGTCAAAGATGACTGCATGGAGGTGCCATTTAGTACCTAAAGAATAGGAGGGGCCAGGCACATTGGCTCATGCCTGTAATCCCAGAACTTTGGGAGGCTGAGATGGGAGGATCACTTGAGTCTGGGAGTTTATGGCTGCAGTGAGCTATGATTGCACAACTGTACTTCAGCCCAGGTGACAGAGTGAGACACTGTCTTAAAAAAAAAATAGGGGGAATTTTGAGAGTTGAAAATAGGACGATGGCAATAAAAGTTGGAAGAACATCCCACAAAAATGCAGAGTTTTGAATGTTTTCAAGAAATGAGGAATAGATCAGTAAAATAGAGGCAATTTGTGGAGGAGTGTTGCAAGAGTCTGTGATCAATGCATGGGGTGCCTTAAATGCCAGCCAAGACATTTCATTTTAGACTGTTGTGATCCATTGTGATTTTGTGAGGAGGGGATTCATGTGATGATACAAAAGTTAGGAATGTAATTCTGAGAGTTGAGCAGAATGAAGTGGTAAAAAGTAAGAGAGAGAAATACCACTGTCAGAGGGCTTTTGCAAAGGACAGTTGGTAGATGATGAAGACCAAACTCAAAGTGTTACTAAAGTTGGAAACAATTTTCCTTGTGGACTGTTTCAGTCTACCTAACTCTTGGGTTACTAGTGACAGGCTCTAAGAGAAGCTAGATTTAGCTTCTCTGTTAGGAAAAAAATGACTGAATAATTTCTATAGAACCAAGACTGATGGGGGGTAAAACAAAAATGAGTCATCCCAATGATTTAAAAGTTTTAATGATAAAAATATATTGTGATATTGGTGACTATTTTTAAACATTATCTGTTAACAGAGCTGTGAGTTTTTCTAGGAACTGTATCTTCTTTCTGTTTTTTTGGTCATCCCCAGTGGTGTAAATGAACAAATTAGTCATAGTTCTTTTTATACCTACTTAATGTTTCTTTTAAAAGAGATTAATAGAAATTGAAAAGAGAGAGAAACAAAAGAAGTTGAAGGAGAAAATAAGGGAAGAAAGGAGGAATAAGCTAGCGGCAGAGATGGGAGAAGATGGAGAAAAAGAATTTCAGAAAGAGGAAGAGGAGGAGGAGGAGGAGGAAGAGCCATTACCTGAAATCTTTATTCCATTAACCCCCTCTCGCATCCTCTGTGGATTTTACTCAGAGCCAGGGAAGTTCTGGGTTTCTTTGGTAAGTAGCAATAACAATTTTTACCTCAAACATATTTCAATATAGTTTATAGTTATTATAACTTCATTCTTTCTTACTCTTAAGATTTCATTTATGAAATCATTTAAGATTTCATTTATTTACTGTTGAAGATGCAAGTTTTGGTGAATGAATGTGGGGTATAGTTGTTTTTAAATATTCTTAACATCTTTTTTATATGTCTACTTGTGAAGACAATTGTGCAGATAAATCTCTAGTTTATAGATTATCTATTTTCTTCTTGTCAGTCATAACATGCTCCAGGCAGGTCAAAGTGGAGAAGGATCAAGTGTGAAAGAAAAAAGGCCAGGGGGTTTTCTAGCCAAGACTGTTGTTTTTTAATCTTGAAAAGAATAGCTTTCATGGAAGTACTATCCAGTATACTTTTGCTTGCATCTCATTATCTAAAACTGTGCTGTGCGGCCATATGCAAGTCTAGGAAGATAAGCGTTTTTAGATGGTCTAATTGCCACCCTAGGCAAAATCAGAACTTGGCTAATAAGGAAGAAAGGAAAAATGGATATTCAGAAGAAAGTACCAGGGCGTATCACAGTGCTGCAGGAGTACATCCTCCACTTACACATTTTTTTTTTTAGGAAATACTGCAAAGCAAGATTTCCTTCATTGTAATTTTGTCACAATTTTCAGTTCCATCCACCAGAAGAAATTCATAAATATGTCTGTGGAAGATCATTACTAATTCACCACTGGTCCTACCAGGACACTGACCAGCCAAGGACTGTTGCTGTAAAGAGTGATGAGTGTTGACCTCTCTCCTCCTCAACTTTTCCTAGAAATGTATCTTTTGTAGTAACTTCTAAGGAGGCAAGCAGAAAGAAGGATGGAAAAAAGCATCGGCGGCATCATAAGACGTCATTTATTAGTTCCTCTCCCCTTTCTGCCTGTCTTCTGTGTTTTACAAAACAGTTATAAATGACTACTATTGTATGGAGTTCAGAGGATAAAAGGTTAAAGAAAAGATGTTTCCTCCCTTCAGGGAGTCTTCATTTGAGGAAAAGAGGTGCAGAAACAATTAACTGTAATACAGTGCAATAGATTTCCAGTGCCCTGGAAATATAGATGCAAAAGTTACTCATTATTTAACAAACATATTTCAGCTAAGGGCAGAGCTGCATGCCTGCAGTCCCAGCTACTCAAGACGCTGAGGTGGGAGGACAGCTTGAGCCCAGGAGTTCATGGTCAGCCTGTGTAATATAGTGAGACCCCATCTCAACAACAACGATAAAACACAAACAGAACACCCCACCTATATTAAGTGCTTACTCTTAGGGTTTCCAAGTAAAAGTACATAGTACATACTTAGACTGAAAATTATTTGTTTATTTGAAATTTGAATTTAATAGGTGTCCTTTATTTTCATTTGCTGAATACGACAACCTACTTATTCTGTACCAGGTACATTTCTAAGTAATTTACTTAACCAACTATAAAATAAGTGCTATTATTTTTTTGCATTTTATATATGAAGAAACGAAGGCATGGAAATGTTAGGTATTTTTTCCAAGGCCATATAAGTAATGAGAGGTGAAATGAGGATCTGGACTCAGGCAATCTGGGTCCAGGGTTCAGGCTCTTATCCATTAAACCACACGGTGAACAAGGTTAAAACATAGTTAAGAGAGGTGGCAAAGCTTGAGCCAACAATCTGACAACTCTGTGCCTGCAGCCAAACAGATGCCGAAGAAAACCCAGTCTCATTGTGAAGTAATGGCTGCAGTTCTCAAATCGATAGTCACACTACAGGCCAATTCTACTGCCCAGCCGTCTTCACTTTCCAAATTATCGCTTTAAGTCTTTCTTCTCCCCTCAAACATTTTGTACCTTCTCTTACTCTTCACTGATAACCTTATCTCACATTTCACAGAGAAAATAAAAGCAATCAGATGGAATTTGCTTTTCTTGTCTCAATTAGATGTAGCACCCTATAGGGAATCTATATACCTTTTGTCTGCTTTGCCTATTGTTACAATTGGAGAACAGTCCCTTGCAGCTCTCCAAGGATACTGTTCCCAATGGCCCCTAAATCCCATCCCTTGTAATTTTCTCAAAAATTTTGCTCCTGAGATAAACCTCTTGGTTTCCTGTATCTGTCTTTTCTATGTAGTTCTTATCATAAGCATAAAAACATGCTCTAGTACTAATCTTAATTTTCTTTCCTTAACCTCTCTTTTCTTTTCTCCCACTGCTCTGTTACAGAAAAAGTTATTGAAAGAATCATCTGTAATCAGTGGCTTCACCTCTTCACCTCCTATTTGATCTGCAACCCTTTCCAGTTGGGCTTCTATCTCCATCACCTCACTAATGATGAACATACTGACAAACTCAGAGGTCAATTCTCTGTCCATTTGACTTTTTGGAAGCATTTAACAGAGTTGACCCCTCATACTTCTCAAATGCTTTCTTCACTTGGCTTCTAAGACATTGCACTCTTGTGGCCACTCCTTTTCACCCTCTTTTGCTGGCTTCTCATTTACAGAACAAGCTTTGATGTTTGAAATACTCCAGAGTGTGGCCTTGGGCCCTCTCTTGCTAAGGTAACTTTATCCAGTCTCATGGCTTTAAATATTACTTGTCTTCCTGTGAATCTCAAATATTTATCTCTAGTCCTGACCTCTATATCCAACTTGACAGTGCTCCTTGGCACCTCAAAATTAAGCTGTCCAAGACATTACTTTTAAACCCTACTTGCCCCATACAAACCTGCTCCATCCCCATCTCAGTGAATGAGACAATCATCCACTTAGTTACTATGCCAAAACCTTGAGTTATTAAGGATTCTCCTCTTTCCTTTACCATTTGACACCCTTATATCAAAAGTAGGTCTCTTGCAAACAGTATATGTTTAGGCTTAAAAGAATCCTATAGGATAATCTTTGTCTTTTAAAAAAGTACTGTTCATTTATATTTAATGTAATTACTGATATATTTTAGTTTAAATCTAGTATCTATTTCTATTTGTCACACTCATTCTAAACTACTTCTCTTTCCCTTTTTTACCTTCTATTATTAGGTATTTTTTCCCCATAATTTTGTTCCTCTACTAGATTATGAGGTATACATTCTTTTACTACTCTTTTAGAGGTGATTTCATTTACTTATTTATTTGTATTTTTGAGACACAGTCTCACTCTGTTGTGCAGGCTAGAGTGCAGTGGTGCCATCTCAGCTCACTGCAGCCTGTACTTTTCAGGTTCAAGTGATTCTCCTGCCTTAGCCTCCTGAGTAGCAGGGATTACAGGTGTGTGCTACCATGCATGATTAATTTCTGTATTTTTAGTAGGGACAGGTTTGACCATGTTGGCCAGGCTGATCTCGAACTCCTGACCTCAAGTGATCTACCTGTCTTGGCCTCTCAGAGTGCTGGGATTACAAGTGAGAGTCACAGTGCCCAGCCTAGAGGCGATTTTAAAGAGCATAATATAGATTTACTTAATTTTAGTATAAATTCTTTTATTAGTTCCAGAGAAAATTACCTTAGAATACTTTAACATCATGTATCCTCTTCACCCTACCCCACCCCACCTAAGAATGCATTTTGGTATTGTTTTTTTTTTTTATCATTAATATCATTCTGGTTTATCTTTCCTACTTTTTTGGGGGGATCTTTGTGCAGTCTTTATTTCCAATATTTGTTAAAATATTGTTGCTCTTAGGAAAAGAACAAAGATCATCTTCTGAAAAAGCTTAGGAACTACGTGCAGAAATTTACAGAACAGAGGCTATACTTTAACTTAGCCTGTCTGCTGATTAGAGAAGGGAATTCTGAGTGGACTCAAGGAACAAAAGGAAACTAGTAAGGGATAGGGAAGTTGCTCATCTGAATCAGACTTCAGCTACCATCAGGGTATATCTTGTGATCACAGATTGTAGGCTCTGTTGTTGGAAGGTTCAGGAATAGCACAAGATTCCATTTGTCTACTTGGCTACACCCCTGGCTGAATGAGGTTAATGTGACTCAAGTTCCTCGCAAGCCAAAGTGCAACAAAGAGTTCCAGATTGAGGATCAAATTCCTCCTCTATCATACCTCTTGGTGTAGACACCCTGAAGCCAGTTTCCCATATTACATGGTATTTCAAGAGCTTTATTTGCTGTGCCAGCTGCACTCATGAGGACTCTACTGGAAGCCAGAGTAATACCTTTTTGCCTTTCCCTTACTCTTAATTACTTTCCACATCTTTGTAATTTGTACCTTTTACCTAAACAATAGACTAATAATTTTTTTTTTTAAGTGGAGGCTTGCTGGTAACTAATTCTCTGTCTTTTGCTTTTTGGGCTTTGTTTTTGTTTTGCTTTGTTTTAAAGTGTGTTCCTTTTGCTTTTATTTTTGCTAAATATTTTTCCAAAACTTTTACAGTATTGTTTTATCATCTTCTGTCTTTCATTTAGCCAGCAATGTCATGCTTTTCCTCTTTTTTTTTGAAGGCTAATGTGTCTATTGTATCTTAATTACTACTTTTGGATCTAGTTAATGTATTTTTCTTGCTTTAAGATTTTTGTTTTGTTAGCAGTTCATAGCACTCTAAATTTCAACATATCTTTTCAGTTTTGGAAAATTCTTAGCCATTGTCTACCGCAATGCTGCTTCTGGCCTATCTTTCCACTCTCTCATTCTGGGATCCCAACTTTATGTGTATTACATCCTTTTCATTATGTTCCATCTGTATCTTACGTCATCAAAAGAATTTTTCCATCCTTTTTCTCTCTCTCCATGCTTTAGCTTATTTTTTTCAGATCTCTGTTCCAGCTTTGTAACTGTCTTTTATTTTAAACTTTGTATTTCTGTTTTTTATTGAAGTAAAAGACATATAACATAAATTTTGCCATCTTAACCATTTTTAAGTGTACAGCTTAGTAGTAGTAAACGTACTCACAATGTTGTGAAGTCATCACCAACATCCGTCTCCACCGTCATCCTCATCCTGTAACGTAGAAACTCCCATACTCATCAGAGGCTAACTCCTGACTCTTCCCTTTACCCGGCCTCTGGCAACCATCACTCTAGTTTCTTTCTCTATGATTTTGATTACTGTAAGTACCTCAAATAAGTGAAATTATATAATATCTATCTCATTATGACTGACTTGTTTCACTTGGGATAATTTCCCCAAGTTTCATCCATGATGCAGCATATGTCAATTTCCTTTCTTTTCAAGGCCGAATAATACCCCATTTTAGGTATGTACCATATTTTGCTTATATACTCAGTTATCAATAGACACTTGGGACCAGGCTTGGTAGCTCATGCCTGTAATCTTAACACTTAGCACTTTCCAAGGTGAGTGGATCACTTGAGGCCAGGAATTCAGGACCAACCTGGCCAATATGGTGAAACCCTGTTTCTAACCTGCAATCCCAGCTACCCAGGAGGCTGAGAAGACAGGAGAATCGCTTGAACTTCAGAGGTGGAAGTTGCAGTGAGCCCAGATCACACCACTGCATTCCAGTCTGGGTGACAGAGTGAGACCCTATCTCAAAAAAAAAAAAAAGACACTTGGATTGCTCTTACCTTTTGGCTATTGTGAATAATGCTGCTATTAATGAGGTAGGTGTTCAGATATCTCTTTGAGATGCTTGAACCCGGGAAATGATTATTTCTTTCTACGTAAGTCCATGAGACTGCAGATAGCCCCATCCAGCTTTGTAGCCTCTCAGCTGCCACTTTAATAACTGACAATTGCCCCAGGGAGTAAAGCAATGTCAAATGCCAAGCTCACTTCTGGCTTTCCTTCGTTTTTGGATCTTGCTGTTTTGATAGCTTTCCATTTCGAAAATTTTTTCTGTTCATATCCATTGTCTACTTTTTGATGGGGTTGTTTTTTTCTTGTAAATTTGTTTAAGTTCTTCGTAGATTCTGGATATTAGCCCTTTGTCAGATGGGTAGATTGCAAACATTTTTTCTCATTCTGTTGGTTGCCGGTTCACTCTAATGATTGTTTCTTTTGCTGTGCAGAAGCTCTTAAGTTTAATTAGATCCCATTTGTCTATTTTGGCTTCTGTTGTCATTGCTTTTGGTGTTTTAGTCATGGAGTCCTTGCCTATGCCTATGTCCTGAATGGTATTGACTAGGTTTTCTTCTAGGGTTTTTATGGTGTTAGGTCTTATGTTTAAATCTTTAATCCATCTGGGGTTAATTTTTGTATAAGGTATAAGGAAGGGGTCCAGTTTTAGCTTTCTGCACATGGCTAGCCAGTTTTCCCAACACCATTTATTAAACAGGGACTCCTTTCTCCATTGCTTGTTTTTGTCAGGTTTGTCAAAGTTCAGATGGTGGGAGATGTGTGATGTTCCATCTGAGGCCTCTGTTCTGATCCATTGGTCTATATCTCTGTTTTGGTGCCAGTACCATGCTGTTTTGATTACTTTAGCCTTGTAGTATAGTTTGAAGTCAAGTATTGTGATGCCTCCAGCTTTGCTTTTTTTTTTTTTCCTTAGGGTTGTCTTGGCTATGAGGGCTCTTTTTTGGTTCCATATGAAGTTTAAGGTGGTTTTTTCCAGTTCTGTGAAGATGATCAATGGTAGCTTGATGGGGATAGCATGTAATGTATAAATTACTTTAGGCAGAATGGCCATTTTTATGATGTTGATTCTTCCTAACCATGAGCATGGAATGTTTTCAAGACATTTATGCAGCCAACAAACATATGAAAAAATGCTCATCATCACTGGTCATTAGAGAAATGCAAATCAAAATCACATTGAGATACCATCTCATGCCAGTGAGAATGGCAATCATTAAAAAATCGGGAGACAAAAGATGCCAGAGAGGATATGGAGAAATAGGAGCAGTTTTACACTGTTGGTGGGAGTGTAAATTAGTTCAACCATTGTGGAATACAGTGTGGGGATTCGTCAAGGATCTAGAAATAGAAATACCATTTTACCCAGCAATCCTTTGGTATATACCCAAAGGATTATAAATCATTCTATTATAAAGACACATGCACATGTATGTTCACTGTGGCACTGTTCACAATAGCAAAGACTTGGAACTTATGGAGATGCCCATCAACAATAGACTGGGTAAAGAAAATATGACACATATACACCATGGAATACTATGCAGCCATAAAAAAGGATGAGTTCGTATTTGCAGGGACATGGAGGAAGCTGGAAACAATCATTCTCAGCAAACTGACACAAGAACAAAAAATCAAACACCGCACATTATCACTCATAAGTGGGTGTTGAACAATGAGAACACATGGGACACAAGGAGGGGAACATCACACACCAGGGCCGGTTGTGGGGTGGGGGCCTAGAGGAGGGATAGCAAGGGGGAATTTAGGGAGGGATAACAGAAGAAATACCTAATGTAGGTGATGAGGAGATGGATGCAGCAAACACCATGGCATGTGTATACGTACGTAACAATCCTGTACGATCTGCACATGTACCCCAGAATTTAAAGTATAATATTAAAAAAAATTTTGGTTGTTACAATATGTGCTTTTTAAAGAATTCATACATGAATATATATCAGTATTAGAGCTGTATGATTCAAAATTTGAATCAGTAAATACATGGTTGAAATTGGTTATTTGAATAGGATAAATGTCTTTATGCTGTCCAGAAAATGTATTATATTATTTTGACTACCATAATATATCAGTATTACAAATCTAGTTATTTATTCATATTATCACAGATTATGCTGTTAGTAACCCAGAATGTTACTTTGTTTATTGCCTTGCATTAAAAAAGGCTTAAAATTTTATATAAACAAAATTGAAAATGTGATTAACCTTCTGCAAACTCTCTGTTGATGGTTATATATTTAAACTGGTCATTAATCCTGAACCATTAGATTGTGAACTGACTTGACAATAAAAATACCCAAGGTGAAAAAATAAAAAATAAAGAAAATTTGTTCTGGTTGTTCTCAGTGGGAGAGTTTGGCTGAAACAATCTAGTCTGACATTGTCAAAAGTGAAAACTTTAGTAATTTGATTTTCAGAGGTGATCATATTGTTACCTTCTCTTTATTTATTTATTGTTCATAAAGTTGTCCTGACCTTCAATTTGTTTCCTGTAATAAGGAATCTCAGTAATAAGGACATTAGAGTTGGAGCAGTATTGCTCTTCCAGTTGATCATTTGTCTTCTCACTAGGAGGATAAATTTTTCAGAAATAGCCTTTCCTGGAAAGTTAACAGTGTTTACAGTTTCCTTAGACTGAAAACTAGCTGTAAAAACAAGGAACTGCAAAACCCTATTATTTGTTACTGCTTATGCAGAATAATACTTGAAGAAATAAAATGAAATTCTGTAGGGAGTCAGAGGTGATCTCTCTCTTATAATGATTTTTAAGTGGAAACAAATCATCATATGGTTTTTATTATTATATAGTTGTGTGTAAATGGATAACGGAGATGATTTATAGAAATAAATCTATAATAGAAATTACGTAGAAATAGATGTTTGAAAACATCTATTTTTTATTTTCAAAATTGAAATAATCAAAAAATTCTCATGCATTTATGTGTGTTGTATTCAAGTACCACCTTCTATGTTACTTATCTCTTTTCCAGGGTGACTATGATTCTGGTTTTCTGTATCACTGTGAGTTCCCCCCTTGTGATGAAAGCAATAATTTCGAAGAACAAAAAGATGAACCTTTTGATGTTCGTTATCTTGAGAATACAGATGATAATCCCATCCAAACTATCACTTTCAAGTGAGTGGTATTTCAAAAAGCTTTAAAAAACCATATCCCATTAGTGTCCATGCTTTTGTCCATCATGGATATTGTCAATTTTTAGAGATCCATCCAAATGAAGGAGTATTCAAAAAATATTTGGTTAAATAAATCAAATGAATAAATAGAATCAAAGCTAATCCTGAAATTATAGTTCTCTATTCTTTTGTATTAGTATGTTAGGGCTGCCACAATAAGACATCACAGACTAGGTGGCTTAAACAGCAGAATTTTTTTCTTCTCACAATTCTGGAGGCTAGAGTTTCAAGATCAAGGTATCAGCAGGTTGGTTTCTCTTGAGGCCTCTCTCATTGACTTACAGATACCTGCCTTCTTACACAGTCTTTTCTCTGGCTGTGTGCTATCACGATGTCTGTCTGTGTGTCCTAATCTCTTCTTATGAGGACACCAGGCAGACTGGATTAGAACCTACCCTGGTATTCTCATTTTAACTTAATTACCTCTTTAAAGGCCTTATCTCAATGCAGTTACATCCTGAAGTATTAGGGGTTACGGCTTCAATATATTAATTTTGGGGGTGTACAACTCAGTCCATGACACCTTTGTTATTAATTTAGCTATTTGTTAATTGACTTGAAATTAAGCATTATTTTCAGATTATTGGGAAGAATAATTTACATTTTTTGTTTCATAGCATTAACAAAATTATGATGTTTTGTGGAATGAAAAATGGAGCAATTCGAGTCTATGTCCTAAATGAGAATGATCCTTCATTGACCAGTTTGGTGAACTATTGGCACTTCAATATGCATGACAATAACTATGGATGTATTAAAAGTATTGCTAGTAGCTTTGATGATCGTTTCTTGGTGACTACTGGAGGAGATGGTAATATCTTTGTTTTCAACATTTTTTCTGAATTTATGCTAAGGAAAGGCATCAAGGCCAAGGTGCCATCTCCCAGGGTATGTAATTAATTAACTGGTTAATTAATAACAAACTTTATTCAAAATGCTAATATCAAAATTGTTCATATTCTTTATAAGTTTAAATTTATTTAAGCACATTCACCTTCTAGTGATTATAGTCTAATCTTCCTGCTAGTATTATAATTTGACTTTCTGGTGCTCCTATATAAAATATTAAAGGTATTGCATTTCCCTTATTATTAAAGATTGGAATCCCCCAAATTAGAAAAATCAAAAAATCAATTTTTTTATTATTTCAAATTTGAAAATAAAAAATAGATGTTTTCAAACATCTATTTCTCCATAATGTCCATTTTTCTATGTAGTCAAAAGTTTGTATTTTAAAAAAACCTTTTTTTAAAGTTTTTTTTTGCTAAGTTCACAGTTTTTTCAGATTGTATTTTGCTTTCTGTTTATTCATTGACTCAATGTAAGGGCTAATGTAGTATGTATGCCATAAAGTATGCTTTTGACAGGGGTTGCAAAAATATCTTTCTTTAGTATTAGAATGTGACAATGTGGGTCATGATTCAGTATGAAGTATTTTTTTTAAAAGCAGAACTAGATTGTTGGCTTTGTGATGAAGTTTGGGGGTTCAGATCCCCAAATTAATTTCCTTTTTTTGGTCATAAAACTTAGATTTCGTATTATTAAGGCAATTCCTTCAGATAAAATCAGTAGTTAATAACCATTAGAATTGCTCCTAAGGAGAAAGGAGTTGTATTAAAAAGATTACAACTAAAATTCCTATGAACATATTGGCTTCCCATTTAGCCAGTAGCCTACTTCAAAGAACACATACAGAATGTAGGGAAGATATGAGTAGGTCAATTTTCATTTCTTCTAATAGCAAAATTTGGAGTATGGGCTGCTGTATATAGAGAGGAAAAAGGAATTACAGGAAGGAAAGTATATAAACAAGAAGAAAATGTCTTTCTACCTTGTGCCAGTCCTCTCTGTAGAAACCCATATTGGATAGAAAGATATTATCCCACATTTGAATAATCATGTTCTTTTATTTATGGCTGCAATCAATATTTCTGAAATCACTGAAGCAGACATTGCTTTTAAGGAAAAATTAGACCGGGACGAGTGTCTCATGCCTGTAGTCCCAGCACTGTGGGAGGCGAAGGCAGGCAGATCATGAGGTCAGGAGATTGAGACCATCCTGGGTAACATGATGAAACCTCATCTCTACTAAGAATACAAAAAATCAGCCGGGCACGGTGGCAGGCACCTGTGGTCCCAGCTACTCTGGAGGCCGAGACAGGAGAATTGCTTTAACCCGGGAGGTGGAAGTTGGAGTGAGCCGAGATTGTGCTACTGCACTCCAGCCTGGGTGACAGAGGGAGACTCCGTCTCAAAATTAAAAAAAAAAAAAAACCAGGAAAAATTAGAAATTTTTTAAAAAACAACAAAAAACAACTAAGCTCTGCACTTGTCTAAGGTTCTTACCTTGCTGTACTTTAGAATCAGCTGGGGAGCCCTAGAAGTACAGATGCCGGAGCCTACCCAAGAAAAATTAAGTTAGAATATCTGAAGGTGAGGTCCAGGCATCAGTATTTTATAAACTATCCTTCATGTGATTCTAATGTACAGCTAGGATTGAGATCCATTGGCATGTATTTTGGAACTTTGTTTAACTCAACCGTCTTGGAAACAGCTGTGGCCAGGAGACAGTTGTCCCAGTATCAGCATCAAATCCTCGAAGTCACACTGATATTAGAGAACCAAGGGACTTAGCTCTGGTCAATACAAGAATAAAAAATAAATAAAAGTCAGTAAATTTGTATCCTAAGTGATTAATAGCCAGTACAATTTATTAGCCACTACTGTCTCATATTGATCATGTTTTCTGACTTTGCTTTTATTAAAGTCATAAACCTTGACTTTAATAAAAATACATAGATTTATATTTCATATCTTTATCAAAAACTTTATCAAGAATATTTATTTACAACAAATGATAGCAAAATAGAGACCTATCTTCTCTGAAAAAGAGAGTAAAGTTTAATTTTATTTATGACGTACTAGGTAGCAAACTAAGGCTATTTTGTTCCCTGGATTATAATTCTTCTTTAACATCATAGACTAAGACATTTTACAGCACAGCATCTGAATAAACAGAGTACTTTTAAATGATATACTTCTTAGTTCCCTCAAATTTAGACTGATTTCCTTTCTGAAGGGAGATTTGTATTTCTGATTTCATATCTTTCTCTTTCAAGGAGGGGGATTATATTGTTCTTTGCATTTTCAACTTTGTGTCTTCCTTTGAGAAGCTGATATGAAATGCTTATCTAAAATTAAAAAAATATATATGTTGAAATATTTGTTGGACATAGTGAGGTATTTGGATGAATGATGCATGTGATAAAGCGATATACTGAAAAACAGCATTTTGAAATAAATGATCTAGATTGTTTTTGTGAATTCTGTGTTAATAGCATATGAACATTAGTAATTTACATTTTGAGGGGAAATTGTGGGGATATTAACATTTTGCAGACATATGATTAGGTTAAGACTGTTCCTACATACTCCTTCAAATAAAGCAGAAACGAGTAAGTTTAGTAAACTACAATTTTTTCTTAGTTTTTTTTTTTTTTTTTTTGTGAAACTGCTTTTCAGACCTACAGTTATTAGAAACTGGCAGAAAAAAAAAAAACAACCAATTTGCATTTTTAATTTACTTCTTCCTAGATATTTTAGGGAAAATGCTATGCAATTTTAAAGGGCTAACCTTTTACTTCCCTTCTTATAGTTTGGAATTGAAACAGAGCCGATTCCAGAAGACATTGAAGATCCCAAAGCCTACAGGTATGGGACTTTTTGATAAGTACTGACTAGGCCTGAGATTTTGCAAAACAAACCGACAGTGCAGAAGTTGGCCTAGCTTAATGAATTTTCAAATTACTGAATACTAGTTTTCTCTTTCTTTGCTGTTTCTATATTATAACCTGTTACTGTTTTAAATTTCTGTTTTCAGTATTGAGAATGCTAGGAGAAAAAGAGAACATGACAAATTAATGAAAGAAGTGGAAGAAATAAAGGCAAGGAAGAGAGAGCAAATCAAAGCTTTGAGGAATGAATTTTGTAAACTATTAAAAATGAATGAAGAATTACCAAAGCATATGCAGTTTAAACGAACAGTAAGCCTAATATAAACTTGATGTTTATTTTGACATATGCTATTTCTGGCTAGAGATGACTATTTTTCCAACAAGTAGAAACACTTAAAATCATCTTTCTTTTTGTTTGTTTCTTTCAAAATTTCAACAGACATTTATTTTGGGCATCTTTTAATTTATTCTAGTGTGGGGCCCTTTATGAAGGAGATTCTACAAAAACTTGGTGATGTCAAGAAGACACCAGAGACTGCCATCTTTCATGGGTGGGGTCACACCGGGGGACATGTTAAGATATTGATCAGTTGCCATGAGGATCTACCTCATGTCCGATTTTTATGTAATAGCAGTTTCTCTGAGATAGTGAGAGTAGTTTTTATAACTGTGTACTCTCCAAATACTGAGAGTATTCATTATTTTTATTGTGGGAAAAAAATCTTAAAATGTGTAACTTTATTTGCATTATTGTTAACTGAGAAGAACATTTCTCCTTATATTGTGGAAGTAACGTTAAAAATATACTATTTTTCTCCTATAATGGAGAGTGTGTATGACATTTGGGGAAGAGTTATGATGCAGCATGAAACTGGGAACAAAACTGAAATCTGTATGAAACAGTTGATAAAGTACCCATTTTGATGAACGAATCTTTTTATCTGCAGGATTTTGATGTAGATTCCAGAATCCGTGATGAGATAAACAGAAAAACAGCTTTCAAAATTCAACAAGTAGAAAAGGAATTAGCTTGGGAAAAAGAGAAACATGAACTCGGCCTAATGAAGCTAAAGAATCGGTAGGATCCATATTCTCTACAAGCTAAGATGTTTGAGAGCACATGTTTGAGTAACACAGTGTATAGTAGTGTCAGTGAAGTGGCCAGATAAGAGGGCTCTGGAAGGTGCCCACTAACCTGAAATCTCAAGGAATCGTCTTGTTACTGCTACTGGTATTTTCCTGAGCTTTCTGTACTCCCCTTTCTAGTTTAAATGTGGGAAATTAGTTTAACACTTAGATTTTTTAAATTATACAATACATATTTACTTTCTCTTTTGATGAATTATTTATTTTATATCAAGTTAATTAATGAACATGTATGTATTAAGAAACAAAAATTCAAATAGAATCAAAGGACTTGAAATAAAAGACAACCACCTGTGGTTTTATACCTGTCATGCATCAATTTGACTTCCAGAGGAAATGATTGATTGTTTGTTTGTTTTTTTGTCATTTATTGAGATGTAATTTATATAAGTAAAGTATGTAAATCTTAACTGAACATCTTGAAAAGTTTTTACAGATAAATATATGTACTATTCAGATTAAGATAGAGAACATTTATAGCATTTCAGCAAGTTCCCCCATGTATCCTCACCCCAGGAAATACTTATTCTCCAAAGTTGAATCTTTATTGCCATATATTAGTTTGGTTTGTGAATTCCATATAAATAGAGTATTACAGTATGGATTCTTTTGCAATTGGCTTTTTTTTTTTTTTTTTAAACTCATGATGTCTAAGATTATCAGTGTTGTTACATGTAGCAGTAGTGTATTCTGTTCCATTGCTTTTTAATAGTTCTTTAAAATGATTATACCACAGTTTATCCCTTCTACTGTTAATAGATATTTGAGTTGTTTCTGGTTTTGGGGTACCATAAATAACACTACTGTGAACATTGTGTATGTTTTTTGATGGATATAAGTGCTTATTTCTGTTGGTTATATATGCAATTGTGGAACTGCTAGGGCATAGGTTATATGCATGTTTAGTTTTATTAGATCCTGTCAGTTTTTCAAAATGGTTTGATCAACTTACACTCTTACCATCAATGTATGAGAATCCCTATTGCTTCCCATTGTGTTAGTTTCTTAGGGCTCCTGTAAAAAAAGTACCACAAACTGATTGGCTTAAAACTGCTTATTTATTGTCTCACACTTCTGGAGTCTAGAAGTCCAAAATCAAAGTGTCAGACAAGTTGGTTCTTTCTGAGGACTTGGTGGGGCAGAATCTGTTCTATACCTCTCTCCAAGCTTCTGGTGGTTTGCCAGCAACTTTTGGTTTTCTTGGCTCGTGAATCTGTCAGTCCAAACCTTCTGCTTTCACTCGATGTTCTCCCTGTGTCTCTTCATACGGTTTTCCCTGTGCATGTCTATCTCTGTGTCCAAATTTCCCCTTTTTATAAGAACACGAGTTACGTTTCATTAAGGCCTGCTGTAATTATTTCATTATAGCTTGATTACCTATAGCAAAACCCTAGTTTCAAATAGAGTCACACTCCGAGGTGTTGGGGATTGGGACCTCAACCTCGCTTTTTGGGGGACACAAATCCGTAATACTCGTGCTTGGGGTTGTCAGCCCTTTAAATTCCAGCTATTCTGTGGTGGCATCTCTATATGGTTTAAACTGACATCTCCCTGATGAGTGATTTTCAGTCCTTTTTCATGTATTTACCATCATTTTTATATTTTCTATTGTTAAGTGTTTGTTCCAGTCTTTTGTCCATTTTTAAAACTGGCTGTGGGAATTATTTACATCTGCATATGAGCTTTGGTTATTTATATACATATATGAGTGCCTATATATATGACGTGTGTGTATGTGTATATGTGTGTTTGCATATGTCAAATATCTTGCTCTAGTATGTGGCTTTACTCTTAATGGAGTTGTTTGTTGAATAGAAGTTTTTTCTTTTAATGAAGTCTTTTTAAAAAAAGATTAATGCTTTTGTGTTATACTTAGAGAACCTTTGCCTACTCCCAATTCATAAAATAATTCTGTGTTTTCTTCTAGAAGCTCTATTGTTTTTCCATTATCCGTCTTGAATAATTTTTATAAGCGGTGTGAGATCACGTCATTTGTTTTTATACTGATACCCAGTTGACCTAGGATTGTTTGTTGAAAGACCATCTGTTCTATACCAGATTGTAGTGATGCTTTTGTCATAAGTCAGGTAACTGTACATTCGTGGGTCTGTTTCTGAACTCTATTCTGTCTTATTGGCCTGTGTCTGTCCACCCAGCTGCCAGTGTCACTCTGTCTTAATTAACTCTTGACATCTAATACTGTAAATCCTCCACCTTTGTTCTTCATCTCCAAGACTGGTTAAGGTCTTTGCATAGAATCAACTTGTCAATTTTTAGAAAATGCCTGCTAAAATTTTTATTGGAATTACTTGGAATCTGTGGAAAAATAGACATTTAAGGAATAAATTCCTATTTAAGAATAATAGACATTTAAATAATATTATCTTACATAAACATATGTCTTTAAAAGAATCAGTTTTAATATTTTCATAGTGGTCACAATTATATATATAAATAATATATTTATATACATTTATTATTAGTCATTTTTACTGACTTCCTAGTGCAGTAGCTAAAAATTTTCCTCACTTTAATGCATGCTTTCCTCTACCTTCTTAAAAATGTAGAATATATTATAGTAATTATCTATATTCTATGTGTAATATATAATTATACATATTATATATAAATGAAGAATATAACTGCTTTAATGTCTTTGGTGGTTATATTATCTGTGTCATTTCTGTGTATCTTTCTATTGACTAATTATTTCTGTTCATTTTGTGTTGTATTTTTATGCTTTTTAAAATACTTTTTTTTGGGGTTATATTTTTATGCTTTTGGCCTGTCTGCCTGGTAAATTTTACACTGTAGGTGCTAGATATTTCTGTATACTTAAAAAACTTCTTAAAATTTCAATAGGTTTTTAGGGAACAGGTGGTATTGGTTATGTGAAAAGTCTTTTAGTGGTGATTTCCGAGATTTTGGTGTACCCATCACCTGAGCAGTGTACACTGTACCCATTGTGTAGTCTTTTATCCTTCACCATACCCTGTCCTTTCACCTGAGTCCCAGCAGAGCTACCAAGCTCCGGGCTGGTACTGAGGAGTGTCTGCAAAGAGACCCGTGATGTGATCCATCTTCAGATCTTGCAGCCGTGGATACCAGTACCTGCTCCAGTGGAGGTAGCAGGGGAGTGTAGCAGACTCTGTGAGGGTCCTTGGTTATGCTTTTGTTTAGTGTGCTCATTTTGTGTTGGTTGGCTTCAGCCAGGAGGTGGCCATTTCAAGAGCCCGTGAGCTGCAGTCCTGTAGGGAGGATGCAAACTTGCCCTACGAACACCTGGTTAAGTATGCAGGTTTCTCAGGCAGGGCCCTATAGAGCTCCCAAGATTATGACCTTTGTTTTCAGGTACCAGGGCATGTAGAGAAAGACCACCAGGTGAGGGCAGGGATAGGTGTGTCTGAGCTCAGCCTCTCCTTGGGTGGGGTTTGCTGCTGTGGCTGCTGTGGGGATGGGGGTGTGGTTCCCAGTCCAATAGAGTTATATTCCCAGAGGGATTATGACTGCCTTTGCTGAGTCTTACAGGGAAGTTGGGGAAAGCTGGTAGTTACAGGCCTGACTGCTCCCATGCAGCCCAGAGTCCTAAAGGTTGGTCTCACTTCCACCAAAGCAAGTCTATCTCCAGACAGCTGCTGAGCAGGGCTGAGAACTGCCCCAGACCAGGAGCCTCCCCATTAAGAAAGCAAGCAGATTCAGGTTTTTTGGCATCTCAGGGAGCCTGCATGGGTGATCCAGTTCCTTCAAAGGGTCTGTGGATTTTCTCAAGTTTTCTGGGTATGTTCCTGTGGTAGTTCTTGGAGTAAAAGTTCATGTTGTGAGTCTCCATACAATGCTCTGTCCGGAACTGCAAGCTAGTCCTGCCTCCTACCCGCCATCTTAATCTCTGTGTTCTTTAAAATACCCTTGAGCTTTGTTTTGGAAAAAGTTTGGTTTTGTTTTTCTGAGGCTTGCCTTTGGTCTTTGTTAGGTGAGATCAGGGCAGCCTTTAGTCTAGGGCTAATGGTTTTCCAGCTACTCAGACAACACTCTTCTGAGTAGACTATGTATTATCAGGTTTATGTATTAGCAGGTTTATTATCAGCTATTTCAATTGTGTGAGATCTGTGGATTATTCTGCCTGTTCCTTTCTGGTGGTTCTTTTCCCAGCCTCAGGTAGACTCCTCCTCATGGAGTGCTGATTAGTGCTTAATTGCAGAGTGGAAGGGAACCCTCTCCAGATCTTCAGAGCTCTTTCTCTCTCTGACTCTGGGTCTGTCTATCTCTGTTTCTCTTGTGCTGCTATCTCCTCTCTGGGACTTCACCCTGAAAATTATAGCACTTTTTACCAGGTATTACATCTCTGAATAGGTGAATTTCTGGATAATACTTCAATATTTGAATCGCTGAATTATAAACAGATTGCTACCTGCTAAAAGATGAAAGTGGTGAAGAAGTTCCTTTCAGGAAGAACTCTCAACATAGCAGCCCATGTTTGGCTTTAATAAGTATTCACAGTATATTTATAAGTGTGTGTGTGTGTGTATATTTGTGTGTGTGTGTGTGTGTGTGTGTATATATATATATATATATATATGAATCCTAACTTGCAAACTTAGGTATGTAAATACATGGCTTTTTTGTTGTTTAAATTAAATCTGACTTTGACTCTGGTCTTTCATCAAGAAGATAGGACAGTCAGTCTCAGTACTACTGAAACTCATTGTGTCATTTTCCCAGTCTACCTGCTTCTTTTGGTCCTTTGATTCTGTGGTTTCTGTGCTCTGCTGGAGCAGGCAGTGTTTTGTGAGGCCAGGAGCCTGCTGTGCCATAGATCAAACACACATACGGACATCACTCTTAAGGCCTTACCATCTCCCCAGATGCTTTCAGATGCAGGGAACAAGTGCCCACAGCTCTAGGACCCACTTGCCCATCCTCCTTCAAGTCAGGTTCACCTCTGCCTCCCCACCATTCTTGTTATCAAATACTCTTTTCCTTAACTCCTGCTTTCCGTCCCTGATCTGGGCACCCTCCGTCCACCATAGCATCATGTTTTCAGGGAACATATATGGAAGAAGAAAATAAGAACCTATCTGATTGGAATGTGGTGAGAGGTTAAAGTTGTACCACCAAATAACACTGTGTATTACTAATGTTTTCATTTTTACCAATATAATAGGCCAAATAAAATAACTCTTGGTTGAATAATTTAATCCTTTTGATTATTGGTGGGGTCAGCATTTCCTTTCATATGCCTATAGTTTATTTATATTTATTCTTCTGAGAATTGTCTGTTTAAATTTCTTGTTCATTTTTTCTTTGGGTTCTGTTTATTTCCCCCATTATTTTTAATTTTAGCCTCTTTGTCTATATTACAGATATTTGTCTTTTATTCTGCATATTGTAGATGCTTTCTCCTACTCTGCCATTTGCCTTAAACTTTGTTCATATTTTTCTAACTATGCAGAAGTTTTAAATTTTTATGTGATCAAAACCAGCTATATTTTCCAGTCTCATGGAAAGGCTAAAATTTAAAAGTTCCAGTGGGCAAAAACATAAAGGAAAATAAGTCTTAAAGAGACGAGAAAGTACTATGAACGAAAAGGGAAAATTAAAAAGAAATAGTAAATAATTTTAAAAGGAGACATAGAGTTTAAAAGATTAAGTTAGAAAAATAGTAAGAAAGGCAAACAAGCTAGGAATAATCAATATATGCAAAAATAAATTCCAAAATTAAATGTGTGTGTGTGTGTGTGTGTGTGTGTGTGTGTGTGAGAGAGATAATTATGAACCAATGCCCCCAAATAACAAGGTAATTGATGAAAAAAATTTTTAATTAATTTTAAAAATTGACATATGGATGAAGAGCTTTTTAAAAAAGAAGACAATGTGGGCTATGAGAGAAAGATGAACTGGAGATTAGTATGATTTCCTGAGCTTAATGTTTTTTTACAGAGGCGAATGGAGGAATCCAATAGATGGGGATTTTCATGAAATGTTATTAAATATGAAAAACTGAGGGGCAAAGAGTAGAAATTAGGAGGTCTGTACTTTTATTCAACTGCTCAAGCTCTGCTCTCCTTACAGTTACTACATACAAATAAATTGCATTGCCACATGTATGTAAACACACACATATATACACCACACATACAATGTAATTTAAAAAAAAAACAAAATGTATGTGAGATGCATAATGCTTTAGTGAGATGAAGAATGAATATTCTTTAGTTTCTAGGGAATGAGTGTTAAAAATTGTTTTTCTACTTTTTGATTTAGAGACTCTTCACTGACACACAGATATTTATATATTTATTTATATAATTACATGTTAGATTTATTCATATATCTATGCAACAAAACACAAACTATATATTACATATTATAGATAATTATAATGTATTGTAGATAATTATATATAGATTATATATTATAGTAGATATCTATAATTTATATAGATATCTCATGCTATATCTATAATAGATATAGGTATATCTATTATAGATAGATAATATATATCTATAATATATAACTATTATATGTAATAATATATAACAATCTATTATATATAGGTATATGTGTAGATATATAGCTACATAATATATAATATATAGTCTATTATAAATAATATGTAGAGAGGTGGATTATATTTCCTCAGAGTTTGATATGATCTATTTGCCATTAAACTGCAGTCTGCCTGCAAAATTTTCATTTTCCCACATATTAGCAAAACACTGGTATTATAGTGATTAATAATGAGTTGTTCAGTCTTTTCATTAGAAAGACTGTATTTGCTCTTTAATCAAGTCCAATTCAATCTCCATGACATCCTGTTGGTATACATTGTTAAAATCTGAGTCTAGCACAGTATAATGATAATAAAAATAACATAGTTTTATTTTGTTACTTAGTAATTATGCAGAATGATCAAAATGGTGACTATTGAAAATACTTGTTTTATTTTTTCAGATTTCGTGATCCTTTGGAAAGTGATACTATTGTGGTTCATGCCATACAAAGTGACCACAAGATAACCTCTTACAGGCTGGTGCAGCCCTCTAAGTACTCCAAATTCAGACGAGCAAGTCAGTCAGAGAGAAGACCAAGCAAACTGGACAGGTTTGAAAAAGAGGGAACTGGAAGAAAGGACAGCCAGAGAGATGCAGGTTGGCTTTTAAATTCTTATTTCCTAAGCTTTCAAAACTGAATTGTCTGTGGGCAGAACCACTGTACCTTCTTTGGTGCTTGAGCTCAATCTCTTGTACCTCTTCCTCCATGATGGTTTGCTTTGGAGTAAATAATCAAGAGAGACAAAAGTATATGGTATAGCTGAGAATGAGAGGCCACATTTTTCCAACAAATGCTCCATGCCTGCTGTCGTCTTTAATGTAGTTTGTAAGAAGCCCTACCCCGGTCATGTGACGAGAGTGGGTGAGAGGACTGGATGCTGCTGTTTGCTTACTTGCCACATCTGGCTATTGTTAAATCTAGGATTTCCCCAGATGCTAGGTTCTAGGCAGTGGTTCTTTTCAGATTCCTGGGCCCCATCCCAGAGTGTGGGGCTAAAACACTGCATTTCAGACTGTTTTCCAAGAACATATGCTTTAAACAGAATGAGCAGAGAATACAGGTATGAAAGTAGTACCTCTAATCCCTTCAGCCTGTTCCTTGTGGCTTTCCGCAAGATGACTGCAGATGAGTAGGAAAAGAACAAGAATTCTGGAAATGGCTTGGAGAGCCAATCAACAGTAAATAAAAGGTGCTGCTGCAGCCTGGCTAGATTTAGGCTATTGACCGTGATACAATACGAACATTAAGATTGGTTTATCTTCCTCACTGAGAACTCTTTAATGTCTTTTTTTTTTTTTTTTTGATTCTAGGATAAATTCTAGAACTGCTGTCCTGGTGCTTAATCCTTCCACAATCTATCCCTATTCTGTGTTTCTAGTAGCGCCTTCTCATACTGTTCAACACCTGTTTAGTCTTTTGTCCTGCCTGCTGCTTGTTGGGAATGAGCCCAAGCCTGTATGTGGGTGCCCTGTGTCCCGGCAGTAACAAGGGAGTGAGAAAAGGAAATAAAGATACGAGAGTAGAAGTTCACAGCATGGGTCCAGGAGTCCAGTACACTTTCTCATGGGGTGAACCGTGTTGGCACTGAGCTCTGGGCTCTGGGCTCCATGTGCCTTTATTAGGTGTATATACTTGTTAATTGAGGGGTGGGGGAGCAGGAAGGGATGATAAGGGGAGGACTTGAAACTGTTGGGAGAGGCCTTGAAACTAAGGTAGGCAAGATAGCCAAGTGGGAGGTGTGGTCTGCAGTATTCAATAGCATATGTGATTCTTATGCAAACCTGGAACACTGAGTTCTACCACTGGTTGCTGTCAAGGTGCGTTTGCGTCAGAAGCTTAGTGGATAAGGCACCAGCAGCTTTCATCACACCCAGTGCATCACGGGGCTGGACACAGAGCAATCAAGATTACTCTATATTCTGAGAACCTAGACAGAGCCTGTGGCATTCCAGTAATCTCTGCCCTGCAAGCCTTTTCTCCGTTGCCAGCTCTGGTCTGCAGAGACCCTCCCGGATCTTGTGAGCAGAAGTCGCCTCCCTTCTCAGAGATCTTAACACAAGTCCTCTTTCCAAGATCCTCATGCAGCCTCCATGTTGAGAAGGCGTTCATGGGACCAAAGCAGTATATCCTACTCTGCAACCACCCCGTGGTGTTCCATGGTTTTACAGCGCTCTCAGATGGTCTTTACCTTAGGCCTCCTGTTGCCGCTTGATTTCTATTTTACTGCACCAATATTTGATATAGCTTAGTTCGGGGTTTAAGCTTCAGTGTACAATAAGCAAAGCAAGCTTATAATTATTTAACTAGAAATAACTTAGGTCTGCCCCGGCCATCTTGACCCACAGCTGCTCCCTAATTATGCCTGCACTTCCACACCCAGGCTCCTGCTGGAGTGACCTCTTCACTCCTTTCCTTTCTGAATTCTACCAATTCTTGGGATCTAGCTTAAATTACTTTTGTTTCATAAAGCCTTCCCATGACCACCCTGGCCACATAAACTTTTTCTCTATACCACCATATATTTGAAATATGAAATATAATGAAATAGTTATTTGTAACTATATAAATATCTCATGTTATTTAACTTTTCATGTCTATATGTAGCTTAAACATGAATAGAGTAATTACCTAATAGAAACTTGTTAGTAGATCAGGTGCGGTGGCTCACCCTGCAATCCCAGCACTTTGGGAGGCAAAGGCGGGTGGATCACTTGAGGTCAGGAATTCAAGACCAGCCTGGCCAACATGCTGAAACCCCATCTCTACAAAAATACAGTAATTAGTTGGGCATGATGGCACATGCCTGTAGTCCCAGCTACTTGGGAGGCTGTGGCAGGAGAATCACTTTAACCCCAGAGGCAGAGGTTGCAGTGAGCCAAGATTGCACCATTGCACTCCAGCCTAGGAGACAAAGTGAGACTCTGTCTCAAAAAAAAAAAAAAAAAAAAAAAAAAAAAAAATTGCTAGTTGATAAAGCCAATTTTATTTTATTTTCTTTACTTTTCTTTCCTTTTTTTTTTTTTTTTGAGACATAGTCTCTCTCTGTCCCCAAGGCTGGAGTGAAGTGTTGCAATCTTGGCTCACTGCAACTTCTGCCTCCCAGGTTCAAGCAACTCTGGTACTTCAGCCTCCTGAGTAACTGGGATTACAGGTTCGTGCTACCACACCCAACTAATTATTTTTTCGTATTTTTAGTAGAGATGGGAGTCTTACCATGTTGGTCAGGCTGGTCTCAAACTCCTGAGCTCAGGTAATCTGCCCACCTCAGCCTCCCAGAGTGCTAGGATTATAGGTGTGAGCCACCGAGCCTGGCCATAAATCCAATAATTTTTGAATTATTTGATTGTGTTTCTGACGAGTTTTTAGTTGGCCACAGAGCACTTCAGTTGGTATGCACCACCTCAAATCGTATGTATCAAATTGGACTTACTCTCGATTTTTCTCCTTTTCCCCACCATCATGTCACAAACACTCCTTCCCAACATGTTAGTGGTTCACCATCATTTATCTTGATCTCTAATTGTTTAATTTATGTCTTACCTTGCCAACTTTTAATAAGGTTCTTAAAAGCAAAAAATGTGACTTAGATCTTTTCATTTTGGCATTGCACAGTACTTATTATGGGGTTGAATTCATAGTAGTTGGTCAATAAATACTTTTTTGTTTTTGTTTTGGAGATGGAATTTTGCTCTGTTTCCCAGGCTGGAGTGCAGTGCTGAGATTTCAGTTTACTGCAGCCTCCACCTCCTGGGTTCAAGCAATTCTCCTGCCTCAGCCTCTCAAGTAGCTGAAATTACAGGTACACACCACAATGGCTGGCTAATTTTTGTATGTTTAGTAGAGATGGGGTTTCACCACGTTGCCCAGGCTGGTCTGAAACTCCTGACCTCAAGTGATCTGCTTGCTTCAGCCTCCCAAAGTCCTGATATTACAGGTGTGAACCACTGCACCTGGTGCTCAATAAATACTTTGATTTACAAATTCAACATATTCTCTGCATTTTTTTTATTTGGTAGATTAAAAACAGTATTTGCAAGTATTGTTTTTATGTCTGAAAATGACTAAAAAAATGTTGATTCTCTGTATAGGTGAGAGTGTTACTGCACAAGAAGAATCAATAATAGAAAAAGGGAAGAAATTTCGGCCTAAAACTCTAAGTGAAATTATGGTGAAAAATCAAATCGAGAAAACGAGAAAACTTATATTAAAAGCTGAAAGAGCACAACTGAAGATTCAACAGCGAAAAAAAGAATGGGAGGAACTGTGAGTTTTTTACCTAAACTGTAATCTTTTTAATATTCGAGCCCCAAAATAATATATCTTAAAAATCTTTATATTTATTGACATTACCATTTAAATGCAAAAGTAAAAAAAATAGAAAGTATAATCAGAATGATTTTTAATAATTAAGAAATGCTTTTCTATCTCAAAATGATAAACGTATTCTCTTGTATGTTCTTCTAATATCTTACAGTTTTGACTTTTTATCATTAACCATCTGAGGTTAACTTCTTTCTCAAAAAAAAAAAAAAAAGTCTAGTATTGATATGGGAGTGTTAGGAAGGGAAGGGTGTGGTCCCTTTAAATGATATGGAAGCGGGGAAGGGAAGTGCTGGGTAGAGAAAGGCATGGTCCCTGGCTAGGGCTCTACCTCCAGGGACCTAGGTGAGGACAGGCATTTCCTGCCCAAATGTTGCATTTCCCAAGACCACCCTGGTCTGCCATGTCCCCATCCTGGGTATTTAAAAACCTGACACCCTAGAGGCAGACACACAAGTGGCTGGATGTCATGAGGGACACATTGGTTGAAGAAGACACAAGCAACTATCTAGAACATGCAGGAGAAAGCGCAGGCTGACAGCTATCAACAGATGCCGGCAAGCTGGCAGGCCACTGACCAGTGGGATGAGGCAGAGTTTGGCGGCACAGTTGGCTGGGGCTGCCAAGTGGCCCAATTCCAGGGAAAAACCCTTCTGGCTCTCCCACTGGGGAGAGCTACTTCCATTCAATAAAAATTCGCATTCATTCTCCAAGCCCACATGTGATCTGATTCTTCTAGTACACCAAGGCAAGAAACAATGGGATACAGAAATCCCTCCATCCTTGTGATAAGGAAGGGGGTCTAATTGAGCTGGCTAACACAGGCTGCCGTTAGACAGCAAACTAAGAGAGACCCTGTAACACATGCCCATTGGGGCTTCAGCTGTAAACATTCATGCCTAGACACTGCCTGGGGTTGGAGTCCCACGGCTTGCCTGTTTGTATGCTCCCCCTAGAGGCTTGAGCAGTGGAGCACCCCTATCACATACCCTTTGAGGGGGACAAGGGAATCTTTCTCATTTCAACTGGGGGCTTGTCCGGGATTGCAGAAGGTGAGTGTGGGTGAATGCCAAACTTTTGAATCTGCCTCTCTTCTAAAACCCTGCCACCTCTCTTTTTCCTGCAGGTGAGATGCTCCTTTTTCCTTCTCTGAGTTTTAAAAACTCCACCCTAAGTGGGAAGTCAAAACCCCCAGACTTTGTCTCTTTTCTGTCTTTGAAATGACTCTTAGGTCTTTCTTTATAATGTTAGGAGTTTTGCTATAAGCCGTGGAAATGTTACTAAGTACGATGAGCATTAGGCTCAGCTGCTGAAGGTGCAAATCGGACCAGCTGTTCCTAGAGGTGCCACGTATGCCTCCAACTCAACAGCTGCAGGCATGCACGGCTCAGGGCACCTCTCCTTACCCTTTTTCCTCCCAGCTTGGGTGCCTGGGCATGCCCGCAGCAGGCAAGGGCCAAGCATAACAGTCACGAGCAGGGTGGGAGAAAGCCATGACAGTAGCTGCAGCCCTGCAGGGTCAACAGACAAGTGCTTCTTGCCCACCATACCAATGGAACCTCTCCTCCCCTGGCCAAGGAATTTAACCTAGTCTGAATCTGAGGGAAAGATATCAGGATTAGAAAGGCCCAGTTGCACTAAGCAAGGGGTTCTTCCCCCAGAAGCTCTTCCCTTTTTGCCCCTTAAACTGTTTTTCTCTTTTCTAAGTGAAAGGGCTCCCCTCCCCGCTGCCCCCTGCCCCCGCCCCCAGTTCTGTTTCTGATAAGAGAGTTAACAGGAATGGCCCCTGCTGGCTGAGAACTGCACATTTGGCAGGCACATTTGAGACACTCTAAGTAGATACAGCCTCTAAAATACTTCTTCAGTCCCAACCTCGATTCCAAGCTTTCATCTGAGTCCCTAGAAAGGAAAACCAGGTCTGAGGGATCCAAAGCCAGGCAACAGGCACAATGTAAAGTAGGACCAATTCCTGCCGACTAAACTTCCTACCCCACAGAAAGAAGCCATGCTGCATGGCATCAACAGGCCCAGGGAATTCAGTTTGCTGACAGCAGGGAGAAATGGAGGCATAGGTGAGGGTGGTTAATTCCTATTCTCCAGGTTTCCCCTGCTTCCTGGGTATATACTGCAGTGGTACCTATGGCCAGCTCAAGGATAATGGATGGAAAGTGAAAGGAGGATGCACTCTTCCTCTCTCCATCACACCCTGAATTTTCACTGAAAGAAGGAAGGGAATGAGGGACACCTCTCTTCCCTGTCTTTCAGAATGGGCAATAAGTTCTCTTCATCATCCCCAGCTTATACTCCTCTGGAGTATATCCTGAACCATCGAGACTACTTTGACCCTCAGAATCTGACCCCTTATATCCCTCTGCACAAAGGCTTGGCCAAATTATGATTTACAGGAAGGACTGGCTTGACCTCAGGAAGGAACCATTCATTTTGATACCATTCAGCAGTTGGAATTTTTCTATAGATGTGAGAGGACAGATGGTCTGAGGCTCCATATGTTCGAGCTTTCTGTAGCTTGCGAGGCAGTCCAGACATTTGCTGACAGTGTAGGATTGATTGATCCAGCCCTCCTGCTGGCCATCTCAGGGAAGGCTGCAAGGAGTAAGCCCAGGGAATTAAAGATACGAGTCTCAGAGGCACCCCCAGCAGAAGAGTCACCTCTCTCCAGCCTTCTCCTCTGGATCCACCCTGACCTCCTTATCCAGCTTCAGCCACTCACTTTCCCCCTCCTAGAAATTCTTGCCCTAAACAAGCGCCAGTCTCTCTCTTGCCCGTCCAACAGATGCCCAGTGAATTTGGACCCAGCAAGGCCCAGGCCCCCTTCTCCCTACAGTACTTAAAGCAAATTAAGAGGAATCTTGGTAACTCTTAGATGACCCTGAGAGGCTTTCCAGAATTCCACCCAAATATTTGAACTCTCTTGGAGAAAGGTGTTACTTTTCAATCAGACTCTGATGGACACTGAAAAGCAGTATGCTCTGCAAGCAGCAGAGAGATTTGGGGATTTAACAAAAATCTGGTGTAAGGTAGTTTTACTTGACAAGCACATATTTTCATTGGTTTATTTGCCATCTGTATATTTTTGGTGTTGTGACTCTTCATGTCTTTTGCTCATGTTTGAATAGGATTGTTTCCTCTTTTACTGTTGAGATTTTAGACTTCTTTATATATTCTAGGTACTAGTCCTTGTGTTGGAGATACAGTTTATAAATACTTTCTCTTAGTCTGTAACTTGTCTTTTCAGTCCCTTCACAGAGTTTGTTCTTTTTCTTTTCTTTTCTTCTTCTTCTTTTTTTTTTTTTTTTTTTTTTTTTTGAGACAGAGTCTCGTGCTTTTGCCCAGGCTAGAGTGCAGTGGAGTATCTTGGCTCACTGCAAACTCAGGTTCAAATGATCCTCCCTCATAGCTGGGATTACAAGCATGTGCCATCATGCCCCACTAACTTTTGTATTTTTTAAAGTAGAGACAGGGTTTCATCTTGTTGGCCAGGCTGGTTTGGAATTCCTGACCTCAAGTGATCTGCCCCCGCTGGCCTCCCAAAGTTCTGGGGTTACAGATGTGAGCCACCACACTCGGCCCCCCTTAACAGAGTTTGTCACAGAGCAACAGTTTTTGATTTAGTTGATGTTCAGTTTATCAATTTTTCCTTATATAAATCTTGATTTTGGTGTGAGGTCTAGGAACTCTGCCTAGCCCTAGGTCCTAAATACTTTATCTTATTTTTGTTTTAACATTTTATAGTTTTTTTTTTCATTTTATATTTAAGCTAATTTTAAAATCAGGTATAAGAGTTAGGTTGAGATTTGTTTTTTTTCTTATGGATGTCCAATTACTCTAGCATTTTTGTTGAAAAGACATTTCCTCCATTGAATTTCTTTTGCCCCTTTGTCAGAAATCATTTGGACATGTTTATGTGGGCCTATTTCTGGGTTCCCCTTCAAGTCCATTGATCTGTATATCTATTCTTTTACCAACACTACACTGTCTTGATTCCTATATCTATATAATAGATCTTGAAATCCAGTAGAGTGATTCCCCTCATTCTATTCTCTTTCAAAATTATTTTAGACATTCTGATTACTTTCTCTTTCCATATAAATTTCAGAAAAATCTTGTCTATATGTATAAAAAATCTTGCCATAATTTCAGTAAGAATTATGTCAAAGCAGTGTATTACTTTGGGGAGAATTGGTATCTTTATTGTGTTGAGTCTTCTAATCTATGGACATAGTATGACTTTCCATTTATTTAGATCTTTGATTTCTTTCATCAGTGTTTTGCTGTTTTCAGCATAAAAGTTCTATACATATTTTATTAGATTTGCACATAAGTATTTCTTTTTTTAGCAATTTTAAATGGTATTGTGTTTTTAATACTGGTGTCTCTCTGTTCACATTCACTACTGCTAGTATAGAAATACAATTGGCTTTTGTATGTTTATCTAGTATCCTGTGACCTTTCTGAACTGTCTCAGTTCTAAGAATTTTTTTTATTTAGTAGGTTTCTTGATATTTCATGTGTAGACAGTCATGTCATTTGGAAGCAGGGAGTTTTATTTCTAATCTGTATGCATCTTATTTCATTTTCTTATTGGACTGGCTAGAACTTCCAGTATTATATTGAAATAGAGTGGAAAGAACTAGCATCCACTCTTTGTTTCTTATCTTAGAGGGAAAGCATTCAGTGTTTAAATGATATAACTGTTTCCAGCCTTTAACTCAACCTACCTATACTTTTATATTTGAAGTTAGTGTCTTCACTAATTTCACTAGACAACATATAATTTTGTTTTTAAATCCACACTGCCCATTTCTGTCATTCAGTGGTGTATTTAGACCATTTATATTTATGTACTTATTTATATTTAGGGCTTACATCTGTATTCTATATTTTGTTTTCTTTTGTTCTATTTTTTAGATTTCTGTTTTCTTCTGCTTTACTAGGGAATTTTTCAATGAATTCATATGGAAGTATTCTTTGAGGGATACTTTTAAATATAAATTTAAAATTTTGAGTGTTACAGTGCTATACAAATGTTCTATTTCTTCTTGAGTCAGTTTTTATAATTTGTGTCTTTGAAGGAATTTGTGCATTTTATCTAAGTTGTCAATTTTATTGGCATAAAGTGGTTTATATTATTCTCCTATGTTTATTTTTATTTTTGTAGTATCTGTTTTAATGTCCTCTGTTTTATTGTTAATTTTTAAATTCTTTCTTTTTCTTGGTCATTCCAGCTAGTGATTTACCCACATTATCAATCTTTTCAAAGAACTAGCTTTGGGGAATAGATTTTAAAATATTGTTTGGTCTACTTTCTCTGTCATTTTACTATTATTTTTATAATTTCTTACCTTCTAGTTAACTTAGGTTTCATTAGCTTTTACTTTCTTGATTCTTAACTTATAAACCTGTGTATGGGCTTTGATTCTATGTCCTTCTTTTTTTTCTAATATAAACATTTAAAGTATATATTTTCTCCTAAGCACTAAGTTAGCTGCATTACACATTTTCATATGGTAGGTACTTATTATCACTTAGTCCAAAGTACTTCTAATATCCTCGTGATTACTTCCTTGACTTGCAGCTTAGTTTCCAAAGATTTGTGGTTTCAGAAATATTTCCCTGTTAGATTTCTAATTTAGTTGTTTGTGATCATAGAAAATAGTCTGTATAAGTTTTTAAAGATGTATTGAGAACTGTGTTATGGCCCCGCACATGGAGTCTGTCTACATAAAAGTTCAATGTGTGCTTGAAAAGGGTATGCTTTCTTGCATTGCTTGCTGTAGTGTTCTATAAATGTCAATTTGGACAAGGTGTTTGATGATGTTTTTCATATCTTCTATGTCTCTCTCTCTCTGAAGGCATGAGTTTTTAAGGGTTTTTCTTGAATGTCCCCTGTATTCAACAAGCTCTCTCCAACTGGTGGGAACATGAGTGGTTCCTAGCTATGTGTAAACTATGAGACTTATTTGTTCTACAATTTCCCAGTAATTGTACTTTTCCTGGAAGTTCTTTGCCCAGCTTCATGGTGGTTCACATTGCACATGTACAGATTAATACTCAGCCGAAAAGTTAAGGCCCTATGTAGATTTCCAGAGGTGTTTCTTTGTGTACCTCTGATATTCTTTTCCACAAATTCTTAGTACCAAATTTGGCCTCCCTGTACTGTAATCTCTGCCTCCTCAGTGAGTGAGTTCGCTGGGCTGTGTTTGGGATCCTGATCCTACTCTGTAGGCTGGTAATTTCCTCTGTGCAGCAGCCAGGAGATAATAAGGATCACATCTTTTTACTTTTCTAAAGAATTACAGTTTTATGCTGTTTACGTTCAATGTCTGAACATAGTTGTTTCCCATATTTTTTGTTCAGTTTTCTGATTGTTTATATTATATGAGGATGATAAAGGCCCCTGTTCCTCTCACATGGACAGAAGCAGAAGTAGCTCTTCTCTTCCCTTCCTTTTTGTTTCTTTCATCTCCTTTCTCCCCTTCTCCTTTCCTTTAAAAATATTAATCCTTCATTTTAGTGCAGTTTTACAGAAATAAATGATTGTCATTTAATATAATAGATGATGGGTTTCCTCTGGAATTTTGCATGTCTGTTTCCTTAAAAGAACTTTCTCTTAAAGGCAAGGGCTGACTAACTGCTGTGTGCACGTGCTCGTGTTGTCTAGTAGACTTCACTTTTAAAACTTAGACAGGTGTGTTAAGATCTCCCAGTTAAGGGCCTTTTATTAGTACCAAAGTATCTAAGGGTATGAGTTGGTAGCCCATACCCTTAGATACTTTAGTACTTCCCAAGCAAAGAGTTCAGTTTCTGTAGAGAGTAGTTCTTTAATTGTAGTCTAGATATACAGATTGCCACTGTTTTGTGTGTGCAGGTGGGAAAGTTTGGGAGGGCCCAACTGGTTTAAGCAATGTTTTTTCCCCAATCCTTTAATTAATTTTGCCAAATATGTCTAGCATTCCATTCCGCTCCCTATACCTGCTCTCTTTGTGCTTGGAGCATTCTAGGGACTTCACCAAGAAGATAATATTCAGTCCTTTTTGTTGCTTTATCTTGTTGGGTATTCAGGGCTATAGTTTGATCTGGTTTATTAATTAATATAATTTGATCTTCTTTCTATCTTCCAGAACTGGCTCAGTGTCACTGATTTACTCATGGCTTTCTATTCCATTCTTAGCTTTCCTGATAATTTACAACCTTTTGTACTTCTGTACTGTCATTTTCAGGGGATTTGGGGACAGAGGGAGAGGCAAATATGTGTGTTCGTGCTATCATCTTAAACTAGATACCTTTTCTGAAAATTTACAGCAAGCGTATGCAATTAAAAAGTTCAATTGACTTTTCAGTCATTAAAAACCCACCTAATTTACAAGGCTTAATTTATATCGAGAGAATAAATAACAATGTTCATACGAATTACAAAGAAGTGAACCAAAGCCTAACAGTAATTCAGATTATTTCAGTACAATCTAGTGATTGGTTCCTATTTATATAACCGTATATTATTTTGCTTGGGATACTTTAGTAATTGAATTTTAAAAACTGCTTGGGCTCTGTGACAAAAGGAGCATTATAGATTTGAAATTATACTTTTGTTCCATGATTAAATTTGAATATATACCTAAAGTAGACAAAATAGAGTTTATTGTCATATTTGTGTCTGTGTTGTCTGTTTTTCTAATAGATACAAGAGTAAACCTGATGATGACTTTGAAGATCCCAAAGATCTTCAAGCCATCAAAGAAGCCCAGGTGTGTATGGGAGATTTCAATCTGAAGACAGCCCCAGACTACAAGATACCTGAGCACATGAGAATAAATGCCGCCAAGAAGGAAGAGGAACTAGGACACCTAGATTCTTTGGTACTTATCTACAGATTTTATGACAATGGAGAAAGTACCCTGGGTTTTTAATTAAATTCTGCTAAAACCACTCATTTCCTTCTCTGGTCAATAAGAATATATAACCATAGAAATTAAGAACTGGAAAAGACTATCATGATTATCTAGAATGTCCTCTTTTTACAAGTGAGGAAACTGAGGCCCAGAGAGGACAAGAGATTTGTCCATGGTTAGTCAGCTAATATGAAAGAACCAGCTGTGAATACTTACAGTGTATCCGAGGGTTATAGATGGGTACTACCTGACAGGTATGGCAGGGTCATCAAGGATATCTGGGAATCTAGGTCGGAGTTTGATGAATGTATCTATCTCTTTTGCTGTGGCCTTATTAGAAGTAGTAATACATCTTTGTTGAGTTAGCATTTCTTAGAAGACTCTGTCTTTGAGCTTTTCTTAAAATACCATGTTTCAATACCAGTTTCATGGGTAAGCATTGTATTTTGTGGACTTTGAACCTCTAAAATTCAGACAAATCCTCATTGGAGGTTGCCATGGACAACCAAGGACTTAGATTCAAAAAGCCATTGTTCAATCATTAAAAAATCTGGAGACAGCAGATGCTGGAGAGGATGTGGAGAAATAGGAACACTTTTACACTGTCGGTGGGAGTGCAAATTAGTGCAACCACTGTGGAAGACAGTGTGGAGATTCCTCAAGGGCCTAGAAATAGAAATTCCATTTGACCCAGCAGTCCCATTACTGGGTATATACCCAAATAATTATAAATTGTTCTATTATAAAGACACATGCACGTGTATGTTCTATGCCACACTTACAATAGCAAAGACCTGGAACCAACCCAAATGTCCGTCAACGATAGACTGGATAAAGAAAATGTGGCACATATACACCATGGAATACTACACAGCCATGAGAAACGAGTTCCTGTCCTTCATAGGGACATGGATGAATCTGGAAACCATCATTCTCAGTAAACTGACACAAGAACAGAGAAACAAAACACCTCATGTTATCACTCATAGTCGGGTGTTAAACTATTAGAACATGTGGACACGGAGCATCACACACTGTGGTCAGTTGCGGGGGGCTAAGGGAGGGACAGCAGGGGGTGGGGAAGGATAACGAGGGGAGAAATACCAGATATAGGTGATAGGGGAATGAAGGCAGCAAACCACCTTGCCATATATGTACCTATGTAACAATCCTGCATGATCTGCACATGTACCCCAGACCCTAAAGTACAATTAAAAAAAAAAAAGGTCATTGTTTAGCCTTTTTTTTTTTTGTAGGACATTGAAACTGTTGTAGGCAACGCAGTGCTAATTTATTTCTTTGTTATTTTCTCTGCATTCCTCCAAACCATTTTCTATCATCGTGATGTCTGATCCTCATTTTCTTTTGAAAGTTCCTCTTCCTGCTATATTAATTCCTTAATCACCATTTGAACTGACAAGTGACTTTTTGTGCTTAAAAGCTTAGAGGTTATCTGAGCTACTACTCTGAGGAGAACTAGACACACAGTGACCTAACATGGTTGTGGAGCTTGTACTTTTCAAGGCATCACATTGGAGAGGGTGCCTATCACAGCTCAGATATATTAATAGTATTTTTGAATATTTTTATAATTTTCTGTCAAATGCAAATGAAGTGTCCTGAGGAAGGGGTGTCTTCTGTTTCACCAAAGAGTTACATCCCAGCAGCACAAGGGTCTTGACCTGGCAATTCATATCCACAAATAACATTTTCATAGCTCGTAACTATGTGTTTCTCATGAAAATGGACAATTTGGACATTTTAGTAATGACCATTTGGATTGTTTTCCTAGTTGTTCTTCCAAGGTAATTTTTATTTATCATGTTACATCAATCATCATAGAGAAATGTTCTTAAGACCACAATTTATCCAACCTGAAATTTCATGCTCTAGCTAGAGGAGGTGGGCAGGTATGATATTTTCAACTTAACTACATTACACTGAAATTTGCTTTATTAAAATAAAATCAGAACACCTTGTTCTACAAGTCAGAAGACTGGAGTTCTGTATCCAACTCTGCCACCTAGCCATATGAACCTGCTAAGTCATAAAAATCTCCCTAAGTCATTTATTTCATCTGTAGAAAGAGTATTAATACCATGTCTAGTACACACAGGGTTAATTTAATGGTCAAAATCCATAAATGGTCTTTATTGTTATGGTCAAATTGAAAATCATTGAAAGTATTAAATATTTTTTAAGTAGTGTATTATCTGTCTTTTTTTCCAGCCAGTGTTTAGGTTTGTGTGGTATGTGAAAAACTAGAAAGAGTTGATGTGTAAAGAGGTTCCTTAAAGAGATAGGCCTTACAGCCATCAGTGATGTGGGTTTGTTCTTGTTGGGCTAATCTACAATCCTTCAGATACTTAAGAGGTAGTTGTCCATTCACCCAGCTGCTGGCTTTTGAGTTTAAACCTTAGTGCTTTAAAGGTTTATTTTCAAGTATGCAGAGCATTTCCTCTATGTTATTACAGTTTTCTGCTTTGCAGAAAGTAAATACATATGTAGCTTTTGTAAGACTACTTGAAAGAGTGACTTTTGATCTTTAAAAAACTGTACATGCAAAGTAACTCTTCATGGCCTTTGGACAATCTAGCAGCCTAACTGCATGCAGGAGGTAGGGTTGCGTGTGCTCTCAGGCTCTGGGAATGGCATTTAGAAAACAGACCAGGGAGAGAGCTGGTAATGAAAGAGCAATGGGAGTGTATAGCACCTGTGCCTGGAAGCAGAGACACAGCTTGGCTTACATAAATGGAGAAGGAATGAAGGAAAGAAACTGCAGTCTCTTGGTGTGACATGCTGCTAAAATTCAGAATCATGGCCTTGCCTATACAAGGAGTAACAATAATCATGTGACCAAAATGCAGAATGAAAATAGGCTAAGCTGTAGTTTGGGCCTAGGTAGGCAGCCCTAAGTGAGTCTAAGCCAAAGGGATTCAAAGTTCCAGCAGGGAAATGCATTAAGGGCCTTCCCCTTCCTCCCTGGAGAGACTATCCAGCTAGACTAAGGCTCCAGGAAGGACTTCCATGTAGTGATGAAGGAAGTTCTGGTAAGGGAACTCAGCCACACGAGCCAGCTGTAGGGAACAAATTGTGGGAAGCCAAGAGATACCAGAGGTCGCATCTGCACTGTCCTTCCATCTTGGAGAGGCTAAATGGAAAAAAGCCTAAATGTTAACGAAAAGGACAACTTGGTGGTAAAAAGGTATGATCAGATGAATTTTTATCTTGAATTTTTGCTAGGTCTATAGGCAAGGAAAAAGAGCAGGTCATATTCCACACAATTATTTGTCAGAGGGCTGCACCTTTGTTTCCTTCCTCTTCTATTTTTTCAGGTCCATGGAAAGAAAAGGCATATGAACAAGTGCATCCTCTCTCTTAGAGACCTTAAAGTGGCTGTTGTAGAGGAAATACAGTGCCTGGTACAAGAACTGAAGAACATTCAGTCAACTCTTCATGTATCCAAGCACATACCTATTCCCAAAATTCCTCAGATACACCCAGAAGAAGTTCCAGAAAAGAGATTTCAGTATGATGAAGAAACTCTCCTAAATTTTGAGCGACAGCGTATGAAAAGTATAGATGCAAAGTCCCCCCAAGTGGAGCAGACAGGGTCTGGAGGCCCAGGTGGAGGATTCCTCAAGCTCTCTTCTGGAAAGAATGGGGATTTGACAACCCGAGATTCAATATCTAGGTCATCAAGGGCATCTACACTCAGCCTAGATATACCAAAGTTTATGGAATTTGAAAAGGCAGAGCCAACGGATGTGGAGCTGGAAATTATGAAGAGGGATGAGATTAAACATGTGTACATGCAACAGTATTTGGTCAACAGGGTAAGGGGTGTTCCTAGTTACAGCTGAAAAAGAGAAGATAAGGGGAAAAATTGGGCCTGGTTTTTTTGTTTGTTTATTTTAAATTTCTCTGCATGAACCTTTCCCAAACCCTGACCAGCTCACCACTCAGTGATGGCTTGGCTTCTTCCCCATCCTTGGTCTTCTGGAAATCATTGTGCTCTTCCCAGAACTACAGAGCTTTCAAACTTTTTTTGTTTTGTTTTGGAAAGCTGACCAAGAGTGAAGGGCAAGCCCATGTTTTAGTTACTTGGCATCTAACTGAAGTCATCGTAAAGGGGAAGTGGAGGAGCAGCTTTTAGATGATGGATGGAACATAGTTTAAAATTTTCCAGAGAAACAGGGCACTCTCTGCTTTTCATACCATCCTTTGTCTCTAATATGTGGTTTGTTCTATTAGTAGAAGTGTTTATAGTGATTACCGGGGTTGAGATTGTTCTGGAGCTGGAATGGCAACTATTTTTATTTCTAGGAAAATCAGGAGTAGACTAGGGCCTGTTGGGCGGGATGTTCTTTGATCGTGAAAGAACCTTTCTTGGATAGAGAACTCTCTGCTGCCACCATGTGGAGTCCCCTTCCTCAGTGAGTCTTTCCAGCTCCACCCTGCAATGACATCAATAGCTTCCCAGACATCTTCTTCACCATTATCTCTTCTTTGTCCAGTCCTGTTTCCTCATCATTCTTGCCTCTCTCCACTTCACCTTTTCCTCCCACACCTTTCTGAGTTTTCTATCTGTGCTTTTTCCTTTGCTATTTCCTTCTACCTGCAAGGACTTCCTTCCAGAGCTGAGTTATCATTCAAAGCATGGCCCGGTTCCAAACTTTCTCCAGCATTTTCCCCCCACATTACATATACCCTCCTTCTTTCCAAACTCCAGGTTCACCTGTAATAAGCATCTCATATTTTACACTAATTTTCTTTGCTGCTTCATGGGTATTAGTTTTATCTTGAAAATTAAATTCTGCAACCCTTGAGTAACAGGACACATAGACTTCTGATTCCTCCACGTCGTCTAGCACAATGTCAAACATATCATAGATATTCAGTCAAAGAATTTGATTGATTTAATTGTAACTAATTTATTAATTTAACAAATATTTATTAGGTGTTCTATGTGCAGTGACAGTGATAGATAGGATTAGGGATACAACGATACTTAAAGATACTTCCCAATCCTCACAAAGCTTATGGGCTGTTGGGGTCAGAGGGAAAAACCAAGTGTAATCCTTACAGACTTGGAGACCTATTCGGTTTAGTTTAAGAATGGTGTTGCACTGAAGAAAATATAGGCCTGCCTCTAAATAAATTCAGGAATAATTCAAGTTTGTTAAACAAGCTTTAAAGGGGAGCCCAAACATATAGTCTGTAGCCATAGTTACATAAAAATTTAGTTTTTTCTTCTCTCTGTTTTTTTTTTTTTTCTTTTCAGCTCTTTAAATTTCTCTAGTAGTTTCACTCCGCCAAACCCACAGATCTCTTTCTCCCCCCAGCCCCAGTCTGAGGCCTCACTTACTATAGGCTTTTGACAGTTGAGGCCACCTATCATATTCAAACTAATGAAAAATACAGAATGGTTTGTCTCTTCCTATTCTAGTTTCCTCAGGAGAATCAGTGCTTGGGGCTCTCTTGGCCTCTTCATCTCCCTTATGATGCTGCGGGGGAATGCTGTACCAAAATCAGAACAAAATTGAGGACTTAAAATTAGTAGGACCATAATGAAATAAGGTCTGGACCAGGACTTGGGATTCTTAAGTTCTTATCAGGAAAACTACCTTTGACCTTAATTACTACAATCTTATAAAAAGATTGAACAGATTTTTTGTGGCTCCATGATTATTTTATCTATTTAAAAATATTTACCATTCTGTAGGTTTGAAAATTTTCAACATAAGTTGAGAAATGTATTTATTTGTGCTTACTATATAAAAGGGATTGCAGAGATACTGTGGAGAATGAAGCGGAGACAGAAACACTACCCATTCAGAGAGCTCATAACTGCACAGTACAGCAAGAAGGGCATTCTTGATTGATGGCTTAGTCAGTGGTGAAGAAATAGCTGGAAGGACTATAGTTAAAGAATTCCTACTAAATAAATTAATTTATGTAAATTTAATGTTATTAATGAATTAATTTTTGTGACTACATACCCACACACTTCTCCATCCACGAGGACATAACAAAAAATGATTTCACTTTAGTACTGTTAGATAGTTTAAAAATGCATTTATCCAAGTCTTCTAATACATCCTCAAATCTTTTTTCTATCTCAGATCAAAGAACTGATTGTCACTTTTGATGCAGAACTCCGTCTTCTTAGACATCAGAAACTGAAACTAGATATTCAGATGAAATTATCTGACCTGCACCACGTCACCTTATTTCAAGAAATGCTTCTCCTGAAGAATTTTGAAAAGCAAGAGAACATACTTCAAGAGCGTGTTAATTCCTTAGACAAAGAGGAACAGTACATGCAAGTATGAGTGGGGAAGAAGAAATGTAGCTGGCTACTCCCTTGGTTATGGAAAAACTTGATTTCCTTTTCTTCTTAACTCAATTTTCCCCTTTTTCTAGCCCTCACCTCCTCCTTGTCTTCTTTCCCCTCCTCCTTTTTCCTGTTATTCCTACCTACTCTCCATCTTTAGTATTCATGGTCAGAGAGAAATGATTCAGATTTTTTAGTGCATTGGGTCTAATACTCTATAAGATAGAGTAGAATTTTCAAAAGTGAGCCTTTGATTGTGCCACTTTACTCCAGCCTGGTGGGCTGGGCTCCCAAAAGCAAACAAACAAAAAAAGCAAGCTATGATATAAAATTGTGTTTTGATTATATGTTACCCTTATGAAAATAACTGAAAAAGAAGCTGGTGAGTTTCCTAAGTATGATAGCTTCAGTGTAATATATGATTGAATATCATAAGAAATGAAGTTCCTTTATTTGTTATATTTATATATTACATTTAAATTATACTAGCTTTGTTTCAAAAGATTAAAACAAAGCTATTAAATGGATACTATATGCTAAATAGTAACATTCTTTTTAAGGTATATTAGCTTCACCAGAAATTATATGTATCTTTGTTTTAGTTATATATCAGTATAAAATCTTTTGTTTTTGAGACCACACATGCAAAAATATTAGCTGACATCCACATATTACAAAAAAATTAAATTTAATTTAGATTTTGGGGGAAATCAGCACTAAAAAGCTGATCTTTCTAATTCTGAACTTAACTGGTTTTTACAAAGGAATTATAAAATGTTAACCAATAAATGGATGGTTCTGCAAACATTAGAAATATAAACCTCTTTTTTTTTTTTTTGAGACAAAGTCTTGCTCTGTTGCCAGGCTGGAGTGCAGTGGCATGATCTTGGTCACTGCAACCTTCGCCTCCCAGGTTCAAGCAGATCTCCTGCCTCAGCCTCCGTAGTAGCTGGGATTACAGACATGCACCACCATACCCAGCTAATTTTTGTATTTTTAGTAGAGACAGGGTTTCACCTTGCTGGCAGGATGGTCTCGATCTCCTGACCTCATGATCCATCCGCCTTGGCCTCCCAAAGTGCTGGGATTACAGGTGTGGCCACCATGCCCGGCCAGAAATGCAAACTTCTTTTAAGAAGTTTTAAAAATACATTTCGTTAACTGTAACCTTGCATTGTAAAGCACATTACTCTCTGAACTTGGTTTATCAGAAGTATTTATCATTTGTCATTGTTTTTATTCATTTAGTGGAAAATAAACGAAACTCTTAAAGAGATGGAAGAGAAAAAGAATGAAATCGCCAAACTCCAGGAGCAAGAAAAGGCACTCTACGCTGGTTTTCAAACAGCCATTGGAGAAAACAATAAATTTGCAAACTTCCTCATGAAGGTTCTAAAAAAGAAGATTAAACGGGTAAAGAAAAAAGAGGCTGAAGGAGATGCTGGTTTGTATTTCTTTCTTGCATATGATCCTATTTTCTCTCATTAACATGGAATGGAGAGTAACTAAGGGACCTGTTAGATACCCTGTTTTCTTCACTGCAACACAGACAATGTAGAGACACTGTAGGGGTTAAAGAGGAGAAGACATAAACCTTAAGGTCTTCAAACACCTGGAGTTAATCTGTGTGTGTGTGTGTGTGTGTGTGTGTGTGTGTGTGTGTGTGTTTGCACGTGTACATGTGTGTTTTTGTGTGTGTGCTATGAGTTAGCATAGTGTAGTTTAATAAGCACATCTTTCATGTATTTATTTGCCATATGTATATCTTGTTTGGTGTAATGTCTCCTTTTGCCTGTGTTTCAATAGGATTGTTTGCTTTACAGTTGAATTTTGAGGATTCTTTATGTATTCTATATATTAGTGCTGTGTCAGATATGTGGTTTGGAAATATTTTTTCCTTGTGTATAGCTTGCCTTTTCATTTACTGTAGTAGCATTTGTTGAAAAGATTGTCTCTCTTCAGTTGAATTGCTTTGATCTTTGTCAAGATCATTTGGGCATCTTTGTGTGGATATTTCTAGGTCCTGTATTCGGTTCCATTGATCTATGTGTCAGTCTTTTCACCAATACTACAGTCTTGATTGTTGTAGCTACATATTGAGCCCTTAAGTCAGGTAGACTAATTCCTCCTACTTTATTACTCTTTTGCAAAATTATTGTAGCTGTTCTAGCTCCTTGGTATTTCCATATTTTAGAACAATCTTGTTTATATCAATAAAAAATCTTGTTGGAAATTTGATAGTAATTTTGTAAAACTGTATATTTAATTGGAGACAACCGGTATCTTTACTACATTGAGTTTTCTATTACAAGGCACAATATGTCTCTATTTATTTAGAACCTCAGTTTCTTTGATCAAAATTGTATATAGTTTTCAATATATAATTTGTTTTGTTAGATTTACACATATTTCCTTTATTAGTGATTTTAAATGATACTGTATTTTTAATCTCAATATCCTCCTGTTCATTGCTACTAGTATATTTTACATGTTTAGCTGTATCTTGTAACCTTACTTATTAGTTCTAAGAGGTTTTGGTAGATTCCTTGGGATTTTCTATGGAGATGATATTATATTGGTGTAACAGTAATTGTGGTTTTTGACATTACTTTTAATAATGGCAAAATAATTTCACCTAATAATTTCATCTTATAAATAATAAAATGTTGGCAGTTTCATTTATTTCTGATCAGTATGACTATTTCATTTTCTTGCCTTATTGCATGGCTAGAACATCCAATACTATGTTTAAATAGAGTGCTGAGAGCTGACCCTCTTCCTTGATTTTCAATGTAAAGTATAATATTACCTGTAGCTATGTTATAGGTACTCTATTAAGTTGAGGAAGTTCGTCTCTGTTTCTCTTTTTCATGAATTTTTATCATGAATGGTGGTGGAAATTTGTCAGATGCCTGTCTACATTGATTGATCATGTGATTTTCTTTTTAGCTTGTTAATATGGTAGATTGCATTGGCTGATTATGGATTATTAAATCAGAATTGCATTTCTGAAATACACCTTCCTTGGCATAGTAAGAAATTCCTTTTATATGTTGATGACTTCTATTTGCTAATATTTCATTAAGAAATTTTTTCTCTCTATTCATGAAGATTATTTTTCTGTAATTTTTCTTTTTTTGTACTGTCTTTGTCTGGTTTTAGTATCAGGATATACTAGCTTCATAATATGAATCAGAAAATTTTCCTTTCCATTTGATTTTCTGGAAATCTTTTGTTGAATTGGTGGTAACTATTCTTTAAACATTAAGTAGAATTCTCCAGTAAAAGTATTTGGACTTGAAGATTTCTTTTGGGGGAGTTTTTAAATTACAAATTCAACTTTCTTAATAGTTATAGGGCTATTCAAATGATCTGTTTCATATTGGGTGAGTCATGGTAGTTTGTGGGTTTTTTTGAGGAGTTGGTATATTTCATTTAAGATGCCAAATTTATGCATGAATAGCCTTATCTTTTTAGTGTCTACAGGATCTGTAGTAATATTACCTGTTGCATTCCTTTTTTCTAAAAAAAAATTCATCTTTTATTTTAAATACAGGGGGCACATGTGAAGGATTGTTACATTGGTATATTGCACCCAGATAGTGAGCATAGTACCAAATAGGCAGTTTTTCAACCAATGTTCCCCATCCTTCTTCCCTCACCACTCTAATAATCTGCAATGTCTAGTGCTCCCATGCTTATGTCCATGTATGCTCGATGTTTTTTGCTCTCACTTATGAATGAAAATATGTAGTATTTGGTTTTCTGTTCCTGTGTGAATTTGCTTAGGATGTTGGCCTCCAGCTCCATCCATGTTTCTGCAAAGGTCGTGATTTCATTCTTTTTTATGGCTGTGTAGTATTCAATGGTGTATATGTAGATTTTTTTTTTGTCCAATCCACCATTGATAGGCACCTAGGTTGATTACATGTCTTTGCTGTTGTGGATAGCATGGTGTTGTGGTTTGGCTGTGTCGCTACCCACATCTTATCTTGAATTGTAGTTCCCATAATCCTCACATGTCATGGGAGGGATCTGGTGGGAGGTAATTGAATCATGGGGGCAAGTTACCCCCATACTACTATCCTGGTGATAGCGAGTGAGTTCTCATGAGATCTGGTGGCTTTATAAGGGGCTTCTCCCCACTACTTCAGTCTGCACTTCTCCTTCCTGCTGCCATGTGGAAAAGGACATGTTTGCTTCCCCTTCTACCATGATTGTAAGTCTCCTGAGGCATCTCCAGCCATGCTGAGTTATAAGTCAATTAAACCTCATTCCTTTATAAATTACTCCATCTTGGGTATGTCTTTGTTAGCAGTATGAGAACAGACTAATGCACATGGCAGTGAACATGAGTGCACTTTTCGGTATAATGATCTATTTTCCTTTGTGTATATGCCCACTAATAGGATTGCTGGGTCAAATGGTGGCTCACTTTTAAGTTCTTTGAGAAATGTCCAAACTGCTTTCCACAGTGGCTGAACTAATTTACATTCCCACCAATGTTGTATAAGTGCTCCCATTTCTCCATGGGCTCTTGTTTTTTTGTTTTTGACTTTTTAATAATAGTTATTCTGACTGATGTGAGATGGTATCTCATTGTGGTTTTGATTTGTACTTCTCTAATTATTAATAGTGATGAACAGTTTTTCATGTTTGTTACCTGCTTGTATGTTGTCTTTTGTGTAGTGTCTGTTCATGTCCTTTGCCCATTGTTTAATGAAGTTATTTGTTTTTCGCTATAGATTATGGATATTAGTCTCTTGTTGGATGCATAGTTTGTGAATATTTTCTTCCATTCTGTAGGTTGTCTGTGGCTAGCCAGTTATCCCAATACCATTTATCGAATAGGAACGTCTTTCCCCATTGCATGTTTTTGTCAACCTTGTTGAAGATAAGATGATTGTAGGTGTACAACTTTATTTCTGAGTTTTCTGTTCTGTTATTTTGGTCTATGCATCTCTCTCTTTTTGTACCAGGACTGGGCTGTTTTGGTTACTATAACTTTGTAGTTTGAAGTTAGGTAATGTGTTGATGCCTCTAGCTTTACTCTTTTGCTTGGGATTGTGTTGGCTATTTGAGCTCCTTTTTGGTTACATACATATTTTAGAATAGTTTTTGTTTTTTTCTAGTTGGAAAAGAAGTCAAACTAATTCTCTTTGCTGATAATATGATTCTATGTTTAGAAAACCCTAAAGATTATGAAGAACCTACTAGAACCAGTAATTATTTTTAGCAGAGTTTTAGAATACAAAGTCAGTAGCATTTCTATACACCAATAATGTACAGTCTGAGAGCCAAATAATGAACATAATCCCACTTAGAATAGTGAATTCATCTGACCCAGGGCTTTTTTTTTCATTGTTACATATTTTTTTATTACTGATTCAATTTCAGAACTCAATATTGTTCTATTCATGGTTTTAATCTCTTTCTGATTCAATCTTGGGAGATTATGTATTTCCAGGAATTTATCCATTCTAGTTTGCATGCATAGAAGTGTTCATAATAGTCTCTGAGTATCTTTAGTATTTCTGCGGGATGAGTTGTAATGCCATCTTTGTCATTTCTAATTGTACTTATTTGGATCTTCTCATTTTCTTTTCTTTGTTAACCTAACTAATGATGTATCAGTCTTGTTTATTTTTTGAAAAAACCTCTTGGTCACATGAATATTTTGTATGGATTTTTATATCTCAACTTCATTAAGTTCTTCTGTAATTATAGTTATTTATTTTCTTCTGTTAGCTTTGGGGTTGTTCTTTGTTCCCTTAGTTCCTTTAAATTAATTTGAGATATTTCTAATTTCATGATGAAGGCATTTAGGGATATGAACTATCCTCTTAACACTGCTTTGGCTGCATTCCAGAGATTTCAGTATGTTGAGTCCCTATTTTTATTGAGTTCAAAAAATTGTTTAATTTCTGTCTAAATTTTGATATTCATTGAGTAGTTCTCCAGGAGCAAGTTGTTTAATTTCCATGTCTTTGTGTAGTTTTGAGAGCTCTTCTTAATATTGATTTCTTTTTTTTTGAGACAGAGTTTCACTCTTGTTACCCAGGCTGGAGTGCAATGGTGCAATCTCGGCTCACTGCAACCTCCGCCTCCTGGGTTCAAGCGATTCTCCTGCCTCAGCCTCCTGAGTGAGTAGCTGGGACTACAGGTGTGCGTCACCATGCCCAGCTAATTTTTGTATTTTTAGTAGAGACGAGGTTTCACCATGTTGACCAGGATGGTCTCGATCTCTTGACCACCTGCCTCGGCCTTCCAAAGTGCTGGGATTACAGGCGTGAGCCACCACGCCCGGCCTGATTTCTATTTTTATTGCACTATGGTCTGACAGTGTGCTTGGTATGATTTTAATTTTTCTCAATTTATTGAGACTTGCTTTATGACCAAGCATGTGGTCAATCTTAGAATATGTTCTCTGTACAGATGAGAAAA